TGGGTGACCAAACAGTAGATTTTATTAACAAAATTCACTTCATGATTAATATTGGCATAATATGTAAGTATATTTATTATGTATTTAAAAATAAATATATTACATGTACATATTTGAAACATTAAAAAATTAATAAGTAATAAGTATATAAATATTTATGTAAAAATTTATGTTTTAAAATATTGTGTAATTTTCATTTGATTTGCTTTCAAACTTTTTCAATAATGAATAATAATGAGTTAATAATAATTATTTTTTGATACTACTAATTTCTTCTTGATTACATATTAGTTGTGTTATAGTATTATAACTCTTTGTTTCTTCCTTCCTCAAAAAATAAATAAAAATAAATAAAAAAATAAAAACAACTGTAATTTAAAAAAAAAAAAAGATTAGGTATTTTTGGAATGGAAACAATTTCTTCAAAAAAATAGGACTAGTAGGGGAACAATTAAACAAATTTTTATTTATTTATTTTATTATATTCTGGGAAAGCAGGATGCAATCTTTCACAAGAATATCATTCTATGTATGTAATAAAAATTTAAAAAAAAATATAAAAAATAAAAATTATGAAATAGACAGAGAAAAGGCAAAAAAATATAAAACTGTCTGTTCATTTCATTAAAAACAGCGTGTCCGCATCCAATAGAGAGGTGTCCATCATAGAGTATTTCAAAATACATTGATTTCCTATATCATTGAGTCAAAAACAGAAAAACATTGTCCTTTACGAGGGGTTTCACTGTATCTGAACCTTGAAAAGTATTTACCAATTGCTAAATCTTGTGTTAATGGATGATTTCATTGTTAATGGTCCCCTTTGGAAGAACAGAAGAAGAAAAGAAATTGAAAAATTTCTTGAAAAATGCAATGTCTATTGTCAATAACATGTCCAATACTATCAATGAGACCTCAGACAGAAGGATAAAAGAAAGTGAGGAAACAATGGAATTCACACATTGGACACAAACAATCCAAGAACCTCCTAACAGATTTCAGAAAGTAAGATGTGACAGAATGTACCAAAGGAAGCAGGAAAAACTGTGAATCCTAACAGGATTCTTAGCAGGACGCTTTAAACTAAATGGACATTTAAAGAAGATAGGTATATGTAGATTCTGTAAAGAAGGAGATGAGACACCAGCACATCTATTAACTATGGTGGTACACTTGCCCACTGGAGGAAATGTTTTGGGATGTACAATGCAGAAGAAATTAACCACTGAAAGCGGGCCTACTAATCAAGTTCCTTGGTGAAATACGACTCGCCGGTGTGCTAGAGGCACAGAATGGGGGTACAATAGCTGTGAAAGGGTGCAGTATATTACACCCCAACTAATACATCTACATCTAATAATGTGTCCATGCCTACACACCTTTGTGAATATGCATACATATGTAGTATTCAAAGATTGTTGGTTTATAAACACAGAGGATGTGCTTACAAATGAGAAATGAATCAGAGCCCTAATAGTTCATTGTAGATATTTTATACGTAATGTTGAACTGGCAAAGAACTAGGTGTGCCTCCACTCGCGGGTTATTGAGTTATTCAAATGCCTGAAGATGAACTCAAAAACCCACAAGTGGAGATAGATCCAGTAAGTGACCCTGTGCCAGTCAACATTGGTTCACTGACTGGAAGACCAAAACCTATCATCAACTCTATTTTAAATGTGTTAAAAATATTAAAAAAAATAATAAAGTGTACAAAACTTTTAACATGATAGGTTTACTTATAACAAGATGATTAAATTGGCTGCTGGAGCACAAATAGAATATTTAATAACATGCTGACTAACCTGACTGCCGGCAGAGAAGTTGACTTACACTTTGTAAATCCCTCCTGCACACTTGTCAACACTCACGGAAATACTTAACTCACTGTTTAAAGAACACTTTGTAAAAACGTAGAAAAAAGACATAAAAACGGCTCAACACCCCCTGGAAAAAGAAAAAAGAAATGTATAAAGCCTACAATAAATTAAATGTAGTTTATTTATCAGATTTAAAAAAATGGTACTAAATATAGCTATGACTTATAAAAATGGGGAGGATATGATTTGTTGCACAAATGCTAAGTAAAGTCACTGTATAAATAATTTAAAAAAACAAAAACTTATGGAATTTTTCTTTTAACCTTCAGTAGCAATTAATGTTTGAATGAATGAATAAATGCTTTTATTTACATAAATGAAATATAAAATACAAAATATTACAACAGCAATATTGTATGTACTAATTTATCGTAATATTATTATTAAAAATCATATAAAGATGATGGCTGTACGTTGTCTGTCAAGTTGCCTAATTTATTACTTATAACAATGTATAAGGAGATTTTTCTTGTGCTTGTCTTGTTTAATAATCATTATTAATTAATTAATCTTTATGTAAGCATCTTAATGTAATTAACTGAAAGAAGTTATTTGGTCAATTGGACCACGAACTCTAATGGATTTAATCTTTTTTTTTCCCCTCTTAAATATGATATATATTACATTTCTTTTAAATCATTTTTTATTTCTTTATGTTATTTGTACTATTAACTCAGATTAGTAATAGAAATGCTCAATCAGGGACTTTCTATATTTTAGTGTTTTATATAAATATATGGCAAGTGCCACCCAATTTGGACTGTTCAATATATTTACTATGTCCACTAGATTTAGATGCCCTTTTCCCAAGCACCCTTTTCTAAATTCCCTCAGAATTGGAGATATTTCTAAAAAGTGGTAGGTATCCTCCGGCATTAATTGCACATGGTACAATTAAATACCCTATCCCTCCTCCACAGTTGGCAATTAAGTCCAATCCAGAAATGCAGTATAAACTAAATGAGTTCTTGTGAAAATAGTGTTTTGCTTGATCCAGATTTAATTTTACATATAAGGTGTGGAATTCACAAATCATGGCTCTAAATAGCATTTCATTTTTAATTGTAATTTCAATTTTATTTATTAAATTTTTCGAATTAAACATTTTAAGAACTTCTTTATTAATTTTGACCCACACCGGGTTGCCTATTTACACAAGATGTTTAAACCAAGATATTTCTTTACCTATTATTACATTTGCTATGAAATCAGTAGTTTGTTTGGGGGATGACTTAATGCTTTTTAGATATAATTTGGGTAAAATTTTAATTTGTAACTGTATTTTTGAACCTTTTCTACTTCTGACTTTTATTAAATGTAACTATAACTTGCAAAAATGGGGGGAATATGATTCCTTGTACAAATGCTTAAGAAAGTCACTGTATAAATAATTTTTAAAAACTTATGGAATTTTTCTTTTAATTTTTAGTGGCAATTGTTGTCAACCAATAAAATGTAGGTTTTTAATAGCACTGAGTTAATAGAAAAGGTAACAAAAACAAAACATCATGAATTTACTGAGCAATGTAGCACTTAAGGTAGAACGACCTATTATAAGTTTTGTCCAACTTTTACACAAACACGTTTAAAATGTCTTCAATAAATGATAAAGGCTTTGACTCTTTTGATATCGTAAGCGCATCCTCTGTGTTTACAAACCAACAATGTGTAAAATTTCTGCGTATTTTTCACAATGGTCAGGTCTATCAAAGAACAGGCAAAGTGTCATCATAATCAGTTTTACGAAGCCGATAATTCTCCAGGTGAAAGATATGTTCACTCAAGTGAACTGAGTATTGGTCAAAAATGTATTTATTATATATTAATATAGTTTATTAATAGAGACAGCAGAATTGTTAAGGACAAGTAAAGATCTGGACCTTTCCAGACATACCATAGTGAAACCTGTGAGTCAACCTCACACGCCCTATTCTTGTAAGATCAATAGTGAAAACGATTGCAATGCTTTGTAGATAATAAAGTCCTGACTGGCCCTACAAACATAGCAAATGAGTCAGGTAAGTGTTTTTCTCCAAATTCGGACAACAACCAGTACAACCCTGATTTCCTTGCCCCCCAAAAAATACGAAATGAAAGCTTTGAGCTAGATATGACAGGAGATAAGTGTGTGCCTTGTCGCAGGGAAGAGAAAAAAAACATAAATGGGCAATGGCCTAGATAATCTGGCTGGTGGCATGTGGGCAGACTTTGTGAGATGCGGTCTAGGGTGACGTAGGTTTAGAAACACATTTTCTTTATTGGGCCAACGTTTCGATCTTTATTGAGATCATTTTCAGGGCTCAAAGTGTGTGTTTTTTTTTAGTAGATGTGTCATTGCAGTGTATTGTGTTGAGAGCGAGAAACCTACGACACACCAGACCGCATCTCATGTTCTCCAAATAATCACTATTTGTTAAATTACATTGCAACAATAAAATCGAACAAATTTCTTTTTATAAATAAAGGGAAAACACATTTCTTGAGAGTTTAAATGAAATTTTAACATTTTTTGCTATTTGAACTGTCTTGAGCAGCCAGCAGTTGGAAAGCGTTTGATACATAACAAAATATAAATCAATATTCGAATTAAAAAATAATTGAAAACTGATCAATTGATTATTTGCAATGTAATTCGTTAAAAATACCCAGACCCAGACTTTTATAAACTTAATAAATGCCGAAAATGAAAAATACCTTTTTCGAAGCAAAAACTGATGTTGAATCGATGGCCGCCAGGAGTGAAAGAGAGCGAACGGCGGGAATATTACGTCCCAGTTCCCACCAACTGATATTTAATTTTAAAATTCTCTTAACGGAATTTAAAAAATGTTGAAAATTAATATAAACCGGATATTTTAAGTAAGTTTTTTTAAAAATTAGGTTCATTTGTTTTAAAAATGTAATCATAATGTAATATTTTCGGAAGATCTTGAATCAAACTGGCAATGATCTGCTACGTCGGCGATTTACTTGTTTAGAATTTAATTAAATTTAGTTTAAAAATAATTACTTAATTCTTAAATATTCGATAATTTTTTGGCCATTATTTTTTTACAATATTTTGAGGAATGTAATATTTTTTATTTACACGGAAATGTCCTTGCATCTCCGGCCGTTTCCCTCCTTTCTCATAGACGATTCAGGCTACAACAAATGTCGCGACCTGAGCTCTTCTTTGTAAGTTTTTTCTCCAAATTATCATAATTTTAGATTAATCCAAGCTCCTTTCTCGATCAAATAAATGAGAAATCGTTAATTAAATAATTTACCAATCAACGGTTTGAAATGTTGATTTGGTTTGGGATGGCATAGTTGACCTTAGGGAGTAAATTAAGGTTAAGGATTGGCCATTGTAGGATCACTAACGGTTAGAGAACCACCCCCCGGTCTGGCGACCGACTTTTTCAATTTCTCAAAGATGCTAATTTAATGTACACGATTGAATATAAGTTAAAGTAGCCTTTGTTGTTTGTGTATGGTCTGGTTCCATGGGGGTGGCAGCCGGGGAGTCCGGCGTGGAGGAAGGGTGTATGCTTTGCACGCAGGTGAGAAAGAAACACCCTGGTGCTTGAGTGATGTGGATCTTTGCAGTGTATGCGCATACATACAGGAGAGCCAAAATAAAATTAATACAGCAATAACATCATGCTAATTATAGTCCTCGTCCCTCTGTATTACAATTGGCTCTCTGGGCTGTGGCGCCTGCAGCTTTGTGCATACGTTGAAGAGATTACAGATTTACAACATTTTGTAACTTGTAAGTTTGTTGTTCATCGATAGATTGGATTGTCCTACAAGTTTGTAGAGTGGACTATAGCGTTTGTTTAAGTCTTGTCGTTTCAGTCGTATGTGCTGATTCCACAATAGGCGTAAATCTAGATGGAACCCAGGATAGCATGTGCAGTCGGATTTGGGGATAGGAACGTTGTAGTATATTGTGAGAGGAGATTTGCTTGAGTGTAAATGTAAATGGATGCACTTGCTTTCGTTAATCTTTATTTTCCATTATCGAAACTACCTGTGATATGTCTGCAGATTTTCCAAAGCAATCACAGGATCTGGGTTAGAGGATAGTATAGCCATGTCATAAAGGATATTGAGGATTGGTCCGAGCACAATGCCCTATGGTACTCCTGCAGTCAGTATTCAAAGTAATCTGATCCCTGATGGACTTGAAAGAACTGCTCTGTTAAATAAGAGCAGAAGATAGTGTATAATATATATATATATATTGGGTTGTCCGGAAAATAATGCAGGATTTTGGTATTAAACAAAAAAAAAGAAACTAGTTACTTTAAAGCAATGTTCTTTAATCAAAATAATTTCCCATACTCTCAATACATTTCTCCCAACGTGTTGGTAACTTATTAATTCCGTCTGAGTAGAATTCAGAATTTTTAGAATTGATAAAGTCAATAAATGCATTTTCCAGTTCCGTTTGATTTTTGAATATTATGTGTTGTAAGTAGTGGTCCAGGTGTCTAAAAAAATGGTAGTCAGTAGGCGAGAGGTCCGGAGAGTAGGGTGGGTGAGGCAAAGTTTCATAGCCAAGCTCCAATAATTTTTGTGACGTTACACGTGACACATGTGGTCGAGCGTTGTCATGCAACAAAATGGGCCCTTTCCGATTGACCAAAGAGGGCTTCATTACTGCCAATTTCTGATGCATGGTATTAATTTGGTTACAGTATGATTCAGCATTGATGGTTTCGCCAGGATTTAAGAAGCTGTAGTGTATTAAACCAAATGAAGCCCACCATACCGTAACCATTACCTTTTTTTGATGAGTTGGGGGCTTTGGAAAATGTATTGGAGCTTCTCCTTTGTCGAGCCACTGTCCAGAACGTCTAGTGTTATCGTAGAGAATCCACTTTTCGTCACATGTAACAATTCTGGCCAGAAATGGGTCATTTTTGTTTCGACAAAGAAGTGATGCACAAACATCAAAGCGCTGATTTTTTGGCGATCGTTTAATGAGTGTGGAACCCAATTTTCGAGTTTTTTCACTTTTCCAATCGCCTTGAGGTGGTCAGCGACGGTCGTTTTACTGACTTTGAGTTGCTCTGCAAGTTCTCGAACAGTTGTTTTGGGGTTTTCTTCCACCACTGATCGCAGAACATCATCATTAAGAGAGGAAGGCCTTCCACGACCTTCTTCATCTTCAAGGCTGAAATCTCCCTCCCGAAATTTTTTAAACCACCTTTGCACAGTGCACTCATTAACACAACCCTCGCCCCAGACTTGGTTAATGTTTCTAGCCGTTTGGGCTCCGCTTCGGCCGAGTTTAAACTCGTAAAAGAAAATCGTACGAAATTCTCGCTTTGACATTATAAGGATGACTGAATTATTTCCAAGTAGCGGAATGCTACAGAGGTAAACAAACAATATCATTTGGAAGAGGATTAATAAGTGTTGACATTCATACAAATGAGTAATCCTGTAAACGTAAACAGAATATTTTATATAGATTTTTTTTAATGAAAACTTAAAATCCTGCATTATTTTCCGGACAACCCAATATATAGAGTATATATTATATTAATGATATATATACCCTCAATAGCAATCAATGGATATTTGAACTTCAAGCAATGGTTCAGGGTTTAATGAAAGATATTTAACACTTTTTTTGTATTCATACCTGATACTTTAAGGTTGAATACAAAATTTGAAGAAAAACGTTTGACACTTCAATAGAAGTGTTACATTCAATAGAAATGGTGGGATGAGTATTTAGATTCACTTTTTGTAAATGATGGTTTTACTCACATATTTGTTGTTTACAAAACCAACTCTGCACTTTTCTAATCATCATCAGCACATATTCTAGCAAGTAACTGCAACTACAATATTTGATAGTATTAAGTAAATATTGTTATTGCGAACTGAGTCCTTTTTACAATAATTCTGAGCCCATGTACAACATTGTATTATTGTATTTTCTATTAATTCAATCCTATTAAAAACATACATTTTATTGATTGACAAAAAATTGATTGCTATTGAAGGTTAAAACAAAAATTACATAGATTTGTTAAAATTATTTATAAGGTAATTCTAATTAGTATTTGTACAAAAAATTATATTCCTCCCTTTGTGTAAGTTATAGTTACATTTAATACAATTTTTTGAGGATCTAACTGATAATTTTTCCCTGTATATTACATTTAATTTTTGTAAGGTTTATACATTTCTGTTTTTTCCAGGTGTGTTGAGCTGTTTTTTTGTACATTTTCACAGTGTTATTTAAACAGTGCATTAAGTTTTTTCCGCGAGTGTTTACAAGTGTGCAGAGTTAGGTAGTTCATCATTGCTGTTTTAAGGCAAGGATTTTTGCCATCAGAAGGTAAATTTCATTTATGTAAAATCTATTTTTTATATTTACCTTATGTATGTCTACCATTTTATGATTTTAACTTAATTTTTTCTTTTCCCAGGAGGGATTTACAAAGTGTAAGTCAACTCTCTCTGCTGGCAGTCAGGTTAGTGAGCATGTTAGTGTAATTATTCTATTATTAACCCAGTGGTCAATAATTTTTGGTTTAATACAATCTATTTAATACAATAATANATATATATTTATTATTGTATTAAATAGATTGTATTAAAGTTTGAGTTTTTGTTTTTATAACCAAAAACTCAAACTTCACAACATATCACAAAAAATATGACAGGCTGTAGACTGTAGGCACTCAAAATAAAAAAATTAACTATATAACGCAGCAAACCCAGATATTATATTTTTGGCGCTTGATTTGAACAAAGCGTACCATCAAATTGGTAATCGAAAAATTTAAAAAAATTACTTCCTTTCATGTCCCCTATGCACTATGCCTACTAAAGTTTTGAACCACATGTGAATGAATGTTAACAATTCTATTCTAAATAGATTTTATTCAAAATGTATTTTTCTATTCGATGATTTGGTGGTGTACTCTACAGACTACTAAACTTACATTGAACATTTAAAGGTCGTTTTTGGTAGATTACTGGATGTCAGTTTAACTGCAAATTTGGAAAAGATGGAGACAGTTCGGAAAACTTAACTTTCTGGGGCCTACAAGGCTGTGTCAATTGGCAAACTCCACATCTGTGTTGTCTTAGACCCACCTAAACCCCAAACAAATTGTTCTGTTTTGGGAGATATTCAATTTTCAATTGTTTTCAGCACCTGGCTAAAATAGCTAGTTCTTTAAACCAACTTAGGAAGAATGATTCACCAATTGCCTGGATGCAGGAATGTGAACAGCCTTGTATAAACTTGCAAGTTAAAAGGATCCGAAAGGAATCACTCTGAGTATGAAATTGAAGCGATGGCCATGGGCTATTGTCTAGAAAAATACTGAATTTATTTAAAAATGGTAAATTCTACTTCTTTATTGAAAGCGGTAATGATCAGAATAATATCTAGTTTGATAAAATCAAGTCAAATTTATTTATACAGGTTCTGGGTCTTTTGGTTGCTGCCTCCTTTTTTGACACTGTTGAAGCCTTTTATGACACTCCTGGAGGCGGCTTGGTTGCATTATCTCAGCCTGCTTCCTCCTTCTCCGACATTGTAGGAGCCTTCTCCGACACTGTTGGAGCCTTGCCAGAAACTGTTTGAGGCGGCGTAGTTGCGGTATGGGTGTGGACTCGTTGCCATCCAGGATGTCTGGGTGTGGACTGCCAACATGGGAGGCAATGGAAGTGGAATCGTGCAGTGGTAATATATTTAACGACTTCCACGTCTCCATCCTCTTTGACAAGGCTTCATCCAATTCCTTGAAAAGTCTTGGGTCATTGAGAGCATCCGTGACCTTGAAGAAATGCTTGTTCTCTGAGTGTGGTTTAAGCTCGCATGGGCTAAAAGTTACATTAGTCAAAAAGGGGTTGAAAAGGCTTGGAAGCTTGGTCGGCTCACCTCCCGTAGACAAATCTGGCAATCAGGTCCGACAGGTTTTCCATCGTTTTGTTCTGAGATGGAGTACCTCGTAGGTCCTGGTACATGAACGCCTCGAAAGGACCTCTGTGGAATTTGGCCTCTGCCATGGCTGGAAAAACGAACCACCCATCCTTGATGATGCTCTTCAAGTCGTTATTACTTTTGTAGAATGCTGCCACTTTATACCTATCTTCCAGCACGAGATTGTTCGCCTTCCCTATGATCATCTCATAGTTGAAGTCATCCCAAATGATCGACGATACGGATGAACTGAATTTCCAGTTTTTCTCGAGTACTATTTTTGTTGAAATGTTATCAGTTTGTGATTGTTTTGTGTGTATATTTGCTGACTTACATAAGTCGATGAAAGACCCTTCTTCATCCTTCATACCAAGGAGGAGGGAAAAGTTTCCCCGTGTTTCCGGCTTTTTCCAAGGGTCATACTCGATAACCACATTGTCCACAACGGGTATGAAAGGATACAAAAGCTTCTGCAACCAGTTGGCATGGTACACTAATGTATAGCTGTACATTCTGTTTGCTTCAGTGACTATCTTCGAGCTGTTCATTGTTCTAAAACAGTCCAGGTTGTAAAAGCAAAAAAATGAGGCCATGATGTTTTTCGTATTTCCCTCCACCCATCGCCTTTTCGATAAGGCCCAGGGTGCAAACCTGGACCCACTAAGAGCTATCCCCTTGCCAATCCTGCCCGACAGAGCGCCGTTTAAGTGGAAGAGGACGTGTGCAGCTCCAGCGCCTTCTCCTCCCAAAGTAATCTTATTCGGATCACCTCCAAACTTTTGTATATTCTTGAAGACCCATTCGATGGCCATCTGCTGGTCTTTGAGTCCGTAATTGCCTGGATTGCTCTGATCTTCTGAGCTCAGAAAGCCTAAGGAAGAAAAAAAATTATAACCCCTGCGGTAGCTTAGTTAGATTCAAATTACCTAGTGGGCCCAGCCGGTAGCTCAATGTCACGACCACCATCCCTTTTTCCACAAGCCTGACAGGCTGGCAGACGCTGGTTCTGACACCTCCGTAACGGAAGCCGTTCCCGTCGATCCAGACCAACACTGGCAAGCTTTTATTTACCTGTTGACCTGAAAACTTAAAAAAACACAATTTAAATGGAAAAAATCAGGTACTGACATAAGGCAAAGGGCTATAGACGTTGAGGCAGAGGCAATCTTCCTCTCCAAACACTTTATTGGTTGAGTCTATGTCCATACAGTGCACCTTACGCTCCACATTGCCTAAATAGTCGAAACTGATCGGGTCCTATGTCAAATTTAAAAAAATATACGTATACACAAACCAAACTCCTTTCAATTGTATATTGTTTTACCCTGAAACTGTTGTACCCAATTGGTGGCTTGGCATACCTGATCCCTTCGAAGGCTAGATAATAGTTATCACCTCTGGCTGTCAATTCCCGACTGCCTTTAAAATCACCTGTTAATCCACAAGAGATAAGACGTGAAATGTCCTTTTATTCCATGTGCTCACCGATGAACTGGAGGTGGCTCCACATCGCCCAGATTCTTGCCAATGGAGACGTAGGCAGTGGGTACATCCTTGCACAACCGTTGAAATTTAAACAAATATAGCTCTATGTCAGGTGGAAATTAATTGATGAAGAAGGAATTAAATGATTCAGAGCAGAACCAAACAAGAATCAGTTAACTGAAGATAATTGATCGTGTCTCGGAAAATTTAAAAAACATAAACATTGCAACAGATAATCCTTTTTAGTCTCTTGAAATTACTATAATGAATGTAAAAGTTGTCTATATTACATTTCCATAGTATCTGAATTAATTTTTTTAAAATTGTTTGCTGTAAATATTTGTTTTTGTTTCAATAAAATTATTGTACATGTTATTGTGAACATTGAAATAAAACATCCAAGAATAATGTCTATCAACTTGGATTAGAGAAATTTGCTGGGATCGTGGGAATTATATTTACCGAATTGATGTAAGTATTTTAAGTGGAATTCTGAAGTCTGGAAGTTGTTTAGGGTGAAGTGTGAGGTTGATGTTTTGTATTAGAACAGGCTTCTCATGTGAAGTTGATTTGTGATCTTGATTGTTGAATTTGATGAATGGTTTACCGCTGATGACAAGGCTCTACTACCATGAGACCATGAGATACCAATGGAAACCCAGGAAATGGCCTGTGATGCAATGAACCGAACATGGAAATGATAAAAAAATATAACATTTTTCAAATTCTTAAAAAATATTTTAAAGATGTGTGTGGTGTTTATTGACCGTTAGCCAATGATTATTGGAGATTGTGAGATGCGTTCTGGTGTAACGTAGGTTTTAGAAAAACATTTTCTTTATCATGCCAATGTTTTGATCTTTATTGAGATCATCTTCAGGGTTCAAAGTGTTTGTTTTCTGTGTAGATGTGTCATTCTTGTGTGTCGTGTTGAGAGTGCTCTTTGTGTTAATGTCTTAATGTTTTAATGCTGGTGGTGATTTCTGTTTAAAATGTTTCTTTTGAAATGTATTATGGCTTTATGTATGCCGTTAATTCTGATGTTTGGTTGTGTTAGTGTGGCATTTGTGAAGTTAAAGTTGTTTTTGATGTGGGTAGGAAACACCTAGTCTTGTCTGCATTTCAACAAAAAAGTTCTCTGATTGATAGCTGATACAAGTTTCTTCTCATTGTTGGCGATGTCCTTCAGAATACTCTTTGCTTGATGTCCGTATGTAGTTGAAATCTGTTTATAGAATCCCATGTTCTTTGTTATTCTCGTGTAGAAATGTGTGGTGTTTAGTGACCGTTAGCCAATGATTATTTGGGCACTCTCAACATGACACATAGTAATGACATCTACACAGAAAACAAACACTTTGAACCCCGAAGATGATTTCAATAAAGATCGAAATGTTGGCATGATAAAAAAAATGTTTTTCTAAAACCTACATCACACTAGACCGCATCTCACGATCTCCAAATAATCATATTTTAAAGAAATAAAAATGCATAAAATTTAAAGAATCTTTTAAAATTAATAAAAATGAAACATTAATATCTATCCTTATCCATTTTAGATAAGATTCCCGCAACAGGGCTTAATATGATTTATGTAATATAACTAATAGCATGGTAACTTTTGTTTCCTGAAAAAGGAATTTTTTAAATTGAATTTCAGTGCAAAAAATCAATTTGACCAGTTTTCAATTATTATACAAGTCAAATATTGATTTATTTTGGTCAAATGCCTTTCTTCTAGTCACTCCTCAAGTCAGGTAGATGGTAAAATTTCAATTAAACCCTCAAGAAATGCATGTTTTTTTAATTTTGAAAAAGAATTTTGATCATTTTATTGCATTGTTAATGTACTCAATTAAATATGAGTGTTCTACACTCTGGGCTTCTTCCACCACACATCCTCATAACACAATACATCAATCAATAAGAGGATATTGTTTTGCCTTTATATATATATATATATATATATATATATATATATATATATATATATATGCAACAATAGAATCAGTAGTATTAAACCCTTAATATTTATACATTCAAATAGGAAAAAATTAGTAATTTGCATTAATTCTCTATTGTTAGCAAAGGCAATGCAGTTTATTTACTGACACTTTGTCCTTAAACGTCCAACTCTGTGGAAGTAAAGGTATCATTTGTGCGACTTCCTAGTTACTGAAGAAATATATCAATAAAGTTATATCAAATGTATGGCCATTATGGAAAAGTAAATGATAAAATATCAGTATTAAGTTAATATGAATACAAAGCAATGCAAAACAAAGAAATTAGAAATTTGAAGAAGTAATATGCTATCATTGTAAGAATTAGAATATGCTGAACAGAACTCACAGATGGACGTTTAATGTGACAAGATACTCTTTCTTTTTATGATGAGCACAATGAGCCATTTATGATTAATTATACAGGGTGGTCCAGCATAAACTCGAAAAAATTGGGCTGTAGTCCATCTCAAATAGAGTAAAATGCAACCAACCGAACTGTCCTATCTCATTCTGGATGAAGATGTTTTATTTTATTTATTTTTTAAATCCCGACCATAAACCATAAATTGGCATGTTTTTTCAAGATCTAGAGTATATGTCCCAATTTTTAATCACATTGTTGAATTCTGATTAAATTTCCTATAAGAAGGAGCTATTTTATCATATATAATTGATATATCATATATAGTAGCCATATGTTTGATGGCTACTTCGTTATCCAGCATGATAGCCATATTCTTGGTTTTGTACCCTTTGTTGTTGGGAACAATAAAAAAGAGCAGTAATGTGAACAATACTTTTAATTATAAAAGGAGCAATACACAAACAGATGTCGGCAAAATAACTAACAAAGTAACAACTTCCCTCTACTACAGTTACCGGTGTTACGAACATTCATTTTATAAATTATCTGCCAATACCCTCCCTAAATTTTTGAAATGAATAAACACTTTCTTTCATATTATTAATCAATCACAAGGAACTTGAATAACGTAATTTAAAAATAATTATAGCATAGAATTCACATATAACTTATACATTATAACTTATAATCTAATATTATTTATATAATTCTATAATTCTAAAATTTTTAATAGTAATCTTAAAAATCATTTAGACCTAATTCCTTTTTCAACTGACTGAATTTACTTTTAGGAATTGCTTTTGTAATAATATCTGCAATTTGATCTTGAGTTGGAATACATATCACTTCAATGACATTTTCTGAAATTATATTTCTTATAAAATGATGTCTAACATCAATATGTTTACTCCTTTTCATTTCACAAGTGTTTGCCATTTTAATTGCAGTTTGATTATCCTCATAAACAGTAATCTTCATTTTATTTTTACCAGTGATAAATTCAAAGAGTTGTTTAAAAAAAATACATTCAGTGATACCCATAGATAGTGAAACATTTTCAGACTCAGCAGATGACAAAGCAACAACTGTTTTATGTTTTTATTTATCTTAATGACAAAACCACAGATACTTTTACGATCCCTCACATCTGATCCAAAGTCTGCATCGACAAAAACATTCATGTTAAAATCACTGCCGTTATTCTTCTGAAAAATCAATTTACAATTTTTTGAACCTTTTAACTATCTTAAAACGTTTTTCAAATGCTTCCACGTGTTGGACTGAAATTATGCTGAAACTGACTGAAGAATCTAATTGCAAAACAAATCTGGTCGTGTACCTAATATCAAATACATTAACTTCCAACCAGTTCTCTATATGGCAAAACAATTAGTAGGATTGTGTAGGATAACAATTAATAATTAATAAGTAAGTCAAATTTAAATCCAACAGGCAGAGGTATAGCCCTTTCTTTACAATTGGTCCTCTTAAATTTATCTAAAATCTTATTAATTCGATCATTTTGAGATAAATACATTTTTTCATTTTCCCTTTCAATTTCAATTGCCAGAAATTTATTTTTCTTCCCATTAGTATTCATAATTTCTTTAATCTCAAATTTTAATTTTAACAAATTTAAAATAGATGAAAACCCATCATCTTTATAAGTGACCAAAATCATCTACCCATATTAGTAAATATGTATTAACCCTTTTATACAAACAAGGAACTACGTTATTCCTTACAAAGCCCATTTTTATAATATAAGAATTAAAACAATCATTCCATTCTTTTGGTACACATTTTAATCCATGTAACGACTTAATTAACTTACAAGCATTTCCTTCCCGAATGTTCTTTAATCGTGCCGGTGGTTTCATATAAATTGGTTCCTTCAGTGTCCATTCAGAAATGCTGCTTTTACATCAAGCTGATGAAGTCTTAATTCTTGTTGTAGTGAAAAAACTATAAGTTTGTTTTGCCTAATGTACTGGACTTTAGAAAACAACTGAAATGTACTAATAGATGCGACACACGAATACTTCAGACCTTCTCCAGTGAAAAAACTAATAGTGCTTGTAGTGTCACCATCCGAGCTACGGGTGCTTTCAGGTCACTAAGCGTGCTTTCTTAATTGGCACATTGGATATGGTATTTTCAGTAAAAACACACTTTGAATCAATTAGTTTTACACCTTGAGGTTTAGGTACCATTTCCCATGTTCTGTCTTTTCATGATTCTGTAGCTCCTCAGTAATGGCTTCATCCCATCCGTCTCTTGAGTTGATTGCTTCATTGTAAGTAGTAGGCACCACAGAAGGTAAATGCCATCATTAATTCTGCTTCAAAATCATCATACCTTCTAGGTAATCTCTTTACTCTGAAGATTGCCTTTGTCTTTTATTAGTCTGATCCTCTTCTTCAGCTTCTTCTTCTGGTATAGGATGAAGGTCCTTTTCTGCAGAAACTGGTACTTTATCTTCCTCAGTATTAATAATAGGTCGATTTTGTGATTCATCAAATTTTACAGAACAAGCAGTAATTACTTTGCGTTCATCAGGATCCCATAATCGATAACCATTTGCTGTATCCAATCATTATAAGCTGTTTACACCTTTCTAATAATTTTTCATCTCGATCCTCCTTGGGTATATGTGCAAAAGCCCGACTTCCAAATACTCTCATTTTTTCTAGGTTGACTGGCCTATTGAACCAAACTTCAGCTGGTATCTTCCCATTTGCTTTTGTTAAAAGTCTGTTAATTGTATATATTGACGTTCGTACGGCTTCTCCCCATAATTCCTTATTTAAGCCTGAGTCAATTATAATGCATCTGGCCATATCTAGTATTGTGCGATTCATGCGTTCGCATATTCCATTTTGTTTTGGATTACATGGTATGTTGTATTCTAATGTGATACCATGTTCTTTACAGTACTGAATAAATGAGTTTGAGACATATTCTCCTCCCTTATCACAACGAAAATATATTTTTTTATGAAAACGTGCGAATTTCTTCATGATATTCCCTAAATTTATCATATACTTCTGATTTTCTTTTTAGTAGGTATATGTAAACATATGTAAAATAAAAGTTGTATAATATTTGTAGCCATTATAAATTAAGAGTGTAAACGGACTTGCTACATCTGAACTCACAACTTCCAGAATTCGCCTAGGCTTCCTTTCATTTTCTAAATGGTTAAATGATTTCCTAGTCATTTTTCCCTTAAGACAAATGTCACAAATTTTGCTGTTTATAGACCGATGAATGTCCCAGTCTTCTATGTACTATTTCACCGCTCACTAAACTGGCAGACAAATGATTATGGTTCACTTCAACATGAATAGTGTATTGGTTTCCTTCTCTCTTTCCAATTAAAAATGATGAACTGTCCTTTAAAAACTTCACTTCACGTTTACTAAAAATTACCTATATTCCAGCCTTTTCGGTACGTGAAACTGAGAGCAAGTTGTACGCAAGTTCTCACCAACCATACCTTCTTAAATAATGTTTCAAAAAAATTTACCAATGTATTTTTCTTCTGATCAAATTTCATTTCCACCTTCGCAGATAAGCCGACATTCATGTATGTAGTTTTTAGAGCTTCATACATTTCCTTTGCAGTTGTTTTTGATCTCACAGTAGCGAGCACGTTGTCCGCTAAAGATTGAACGATAATATCCTTCGCCTTTACACAGTTTTCTATAGTCAGCCTCAGTCATCCTCTCTTCCTTTATTTCCAGTGCCTGAAGACAATTTTCCCGATCCAGTCGTGTCTATTCTGAATTCAAACTTACCAGTACGGCAGACGTAGACGCCATGTTTGCGAACGAACAAAAACAAATTTCCGAGCACGTCCTAATAAATTAACCGAACCGAACTTTACATTCGACACCTCTTGTGAAGGAAAAGATTTCACACAAGCTCCTTCACTGTTTCTGGGCCCATAACCTGTTTTATATGCCAATACCCTTTGCCACTTCTCCAGAGGGCTTTCTTCCCAATGGCAGCCTGACCACCTGTGGCTAAACTATTTTGCATTTCTTAAGCTTTACTTTGGAGGGGATTATCGAGCGTACAAGCAAGACACAAAATGTGCTACATCAACTTATAAGGAATTTTATTCATTATAAGGAATTTTAAGAGAATGAAAAGGATTAACTGTAGAAATGGTGAATGATGGAGTGAGTGCGGTGTTCAATCCTTTTTTAAAAAAGATGGTTCCTACTCACAGTAATTTGCTTTCCAACTAGTTAACTATCTCTTTTAAAAAAGGATTATCTGTTGTAATGTTTTTGGTTTTTAAATTTTGCGAGACACGATCGATTATCTTCAGTTAATTGATTCTTGTTTGGTTCTATTTTGAATCATTTAATTACTTCTTCCACCCGACATCGAGCTGTGTTTGTTCCAATTTCAATTGTCGAGTTGTGCAGAGTATAACGTCATCTACAGGGATGCACCCACTGCCTACGTCTCCATTGGCGAGGATCTGGGCGATGTGGAGCCACCTCCAGTTCATCGGTGAGCACTTCGAATAAAAGGACATTTCACGTCTTATCTCTTGTGGATCAACAGGCGACTTTAAAGGGAGTCGGGAATTGACAGCCAGAGGTGATAACTATTATCTGGCCTTCGAAGGGATCAGGTACGCCAAGCCGCCGATCGGGTACAACAGTTTCAGGGTAAAAAAATGTATCTCCTGAAAGGAATTTGGTTTGTTATGGTTTGTACATATAGGACCCGATCAGTTTCGATGATCCAGGCAATGTAGAGCGTAAGTTGTACTGCGTGGACATAGACACAAGGGATGAAAAGTTCGGAGAAGACGATTGCCTCTGCCTCAACGTCTATAGCCCTTTGCCTTACGTCAGTACCTGATTTTTTCCATTTAAATTGTGTTTTATAAGCTTTTAGGTCAACAGGTAAATAAAAGCTTGCCAGTGTTGGTCTGGATCGACGGGAGCGGATTTCGTTACGGAAGTGTCAGAACCAGCGTCTGCCAGCCCGGCCGGCTCGTCGAAAAAGGGATGGTGGTGGTGACGGTGAGCTACCGGCTGGGCCCGTTCGGTAATTCGAGTCTAACTAAGCTACCGCACAGGTTACAAAAATTTTTCGACCTTAGGCTTTCTGAGCTCGGAGGATAAGAGAAATCCGGGCAATTACGGACTCAAAGACCAGCAGATGGCCATCGAATGGGTCTTCAAGAATATACAAAAGTTCGGAGGTGATCCGAAAAAGATTACTTTAGGAGGAGAAGGCGCTGGAGCCGCGCACGTCCTCTTCCACTTAAACGGCGCTCTGTTGGGCAGGATCAACAAGGGGATAGCTCTCAGCGGGTCGAGGTTTGCACCCTGGGCCATATCGAAAAGACGATGGGTGGAGGGAAATACGAGAACCATCATGGGCAGAGTCTTTTGCTATCACGACCTGGATTGTTTTAGAACGATGAAAAGCTCAATTATATTCGCCGAAGCGAACAGAATGTATACTTATTCGGTGGTGCACCATGCCACCTGGTTGCAGAAGATCTTGCATCCTTTCATACCTGTCGTGGACGGTGAGGTTATCGAGTATGACCCTTGGAAAAAGCCGGGAACGCGGGGAAACTTTTCCCTCCTCCTCGGTATTAAAGACAAAGAAGGGTCTTTCATCGACTCATGTAAGTCAGCAAGTACACCCATGAAACAATCATAAACTGACATTTCAAAAATCACAGTGCTCAAGAACAGCAGAAAATTAGGGTCCCTCGTGTCGACTAAATTTGGGGACGATTTCAACTACGAGATGATTGTAGGAAGGGCGAACAATCTTACGGAGGACCACAGGAATAAGTTGGCAGCGTTCTACAAGAGCAACGAAGATTTGAAGAGCATCATCAAAGACGGGTGGTTCGTCTTTCCGGCTATGGCGGAGGCCAAATTCCACAGAGGTCCTTTCGAGGCGTTCATGTACAGGGACTTACGAGGTACTCGGTTTCAGAACGAAACTATGAAAAACCTGACGGAACTGATAGCCAGATTTGTCTACGGGAGGTGAGCTAACCCATCTTTCTCGCGGTTTTGACCCACTTTTGTTGAATATAATTTTCAGCCCGTCCCAGCTTAAACCGCACTCGGAGGGTAAGCGTATCTTCAAAATAACAGCTGCTCTCCACGACCCAACACTCTTCCAGGAAGTGGACGAAGCCATGTCGAAGAGAATGGAGATGTGGAAGTCGTTAAATATATTACCACCGCACAATTCCTCCTCCTATGCCTATACTTCACCCATTGTTGAGTCCACCCCCGGCACCACCAATACTATCAGTTTCAGTATCCCTGTCGTCCTGGATGGCAACGAGTCCATTTCCATACAGCAACCACACCGTCTCCAACAGTGTACAAGGAAGCTCCAAAAGTGTCGGAGAAGGTTCAAACAGTGCAGGAGGGGCAATCAACCCGAGGTATCTCAACCACGCCGCCTCCTACTGTGTTTTTCCTTTCCAGAACCTCTATAAATAAATACATTTTACTTGATTTTGTTGAACCAGATATATTTCTATTCATTACTGCCTTCAGTAAATTAGTGCAATATCCCGTTTTCTAAATAAATTCTATATTTTTCAAGAATAGCTCAAGGACAGCAATTCAGGAAGAGACAGGAGTCCGCGTGACAGGAGTAAATCTCCCAGATATGCCCTTCTAATATCTGCTGATTTCTATGCTTAAGTGTGAGTTTATTTCCCAGTACCTGATAAACCTACAAAGAGCCAAAATCTTTATAGTTTGATATCCTGTAAAGAGCCTACGTTTTCATCCCTTGACACCTACAAAAATCTTACCTCTTTTCTGTATAGTTTGATATCATGTAAACAGCATACGTTTTTTTCCAGCTTGATAACCTACAAATAGCTTAGCTCTTTCCAGCTGGCAACCTACAAAGAGCCTACCTATTTTAGCACTATTTATCATTCCCTGAGCAACTTAACCTACTGTTTAAATAAACACATTGTAAAAATATAAGAAAAAATATAAAAATGGCTCAACACCGCTAGAAAAAAAAGTACAAGGCATACTATAAATTAAATGTAGTATATATAGCCAGATCCAGAAAAAGTTGCCTTCTTTACAATGGTCCATGACCGACATCAAATCATAGTTTCAAAAGCAGAACTTAGACAACATTAAAAGGGTGTATAAAATTAAAAGAAAGAACAACCTGTTTTATATAATGATTTTTTATTACTTTTCCCTTTGCTTAGTTACTATATGTAATTATTATTTTTTTTGTTTTTTCACCTGATTATTTTCTTCTTTGGTTGTCGATAATATATATTATTTATATAATGATTAAACATTTAATCCAAACGATTACCATTACGTGCAGGATACAGTTTCACTTTTGCTTTCATTTTTTTTAAATATTTTTTTTTATATATACACACACAGTTATTATAAATCGATGGTTACATAATTAGTTAATTAATTTTTTTTACAAAATACAGTTAGTTTTAAGGCTCATTTGTCGCTTTGTATTGGGGGGGGGGGTTGAGTTTTAAGGAGGCTACATCAAGTTTGCGACATATGCTTTTTTTAAATATGCGGGTGGGAAAATGTACAATTTTGGATTTTTTATATATATTGTTTTTAATTTTATTTTTTTAAGCGTTTCTCCACGGAAGCCCAAGAATGGAAGGCGGGCGAAATTTAAACCCCCTTTTTGTACGAACAACCTTCTACCATTATTACTATATTATTATTATATTAATATAAAGAATTTTTTTATTACTTTGTATACAAGCCAGGGGTTTGGGTAAAACAATACCTTCTTCGCTCGCCTCCGAACGACCAAGCGCACCTAAAACACTACATATCGCACGCGGGGGGGGGCAATTTTATATTTGCTGGTGTTTTAAAATTTTCGTCATTTTGGGTCAGACGCCCTAGAAGGGCCTTGTCGATTACAAACGATTCGACAATAATTAAAAAAGAAAAAATAAATAAATAGACAAACCTTACATCTAAAAGTTTTAAATTTATGTACAGTTAAAGCTTTTTTTAGGTTTAAATTTTTATAGCTTTAATGCTAAGAGGCATAACAAAAGACACAGACTATTCTTCTTCTTTTAAAATATTGCTTTATTATTATATTTGATACTCCTTATGCCTTATTTAACTTGTCTTTTTACTTGTTAATCTGTGTGCCTCTTCACTTCACATGGCACTAATGATGAAGCTTATTTATATTAGTGCATATTAGTGCTTTATTTTCTTTATGTTTGATGGTTTTTTTTTTTTTGCCGTGTATAGCTTATTTGATTGATATACATCGCTGGGGGTTTTAGGTTAGGTCTAACCTCAAAATCCCAACCGAGGAGGTTCTTCTTCAATATTAATTTTTTTAGGGTTTAAAATTTTCAAAACATGTTTTTTATTTATTTATTATTTGAAAGGGTTCCGACCGAGGTTTTGAATCTTTTTCGAAAGTCTTAACACTAGGGCTTAACCTAACTTAACCTAGAACGAGGGCGACGGTTTTTCCTCTTTCTCTGTGTGATTGGGGTTGGAGAAAAGGTCTGAAGATAAAAATGCTTTATTCAAAAAAAGCTTATGCGCCGCCCTCCATATGCACACTGACGCATAGAAGACCCGACACGACCGGGTATAAATCTAGCAGATTTTTTCTTTATTTTTTACGGAATACCGCCGGACTCGGCGTTTTGAAGAATTATCCTACAAGCTATATGAAGAAAAAAATTTAATAAAAAGCTCTAACATATAGGCGTAAAAAGCGAAAATTGGGCTTCCTGCGGTGAACGCTGACCATCACACTGAGAAACATTTCAAGAAAGAACATAAGAAACTTCAGAAAAGTCCGTTTGTTCAAATTAATTCGATACTATCAACCACAAAAAATCCCTTATATACTAAGTCAACACTTAAATCCCCAGTTTTCTTTTTCGTACCTTCAAAAGGAGAAAAGACAAAGGAGTTGTATCTTAAAAACTAGTGTCTTTGGTTTCATAGCTGCAATGCGTACACCGTACGCTATCAATGATAAACTAAAAAACACAAAATCAAAAAGTGCAAGTGCAATTTTTATATAAAGACTTCATTTTTTAATATTATCGTGCAACCTACAAACGAATCAACAATGAGATCACTTTCATTTTATTACCTCAAAATACTAAAAAACTACTAGTAAATAATTTAAAAAATAACTAACAACAAAACTACACTATGTACCTGGATTTCCCTTTAGGCGTTGTACATTGAAACAATCGCGTTTTACTTTTCTTTGACGTACAAGACCTGCGGATGGAGTCGGCCAATCTCAACACCTCTGATGATGGTATGTCGTCTGATTGACTTTGAACCGAACCGACAGACTACTGGTCTCAGGGTTTTGCTCTCTGAAGGAACCAAAACCACAATGCTCTCTGGATCTCTAGAACCTATATGACTTTTGAACCGAACTGATAGATCCCAACTGGTCTCAGGGCTTTGCCCGCTGAAGGAGCCAAACACCCAAAGGTCTCTTGATCCAGTGATTTGTAATGTAAATAACAGTCTGATATACCAAACTCGAAATCATCAAGTTATTGGATTGTCGGTCAGATTTGGTTCAAGGCAGCCATGTTCTAAGTACCATCGGACGATTGTAACATCAGACTTGGCTCATCGCTTCCGATTAAAATTAAAACACAATTCTTGCAAGCATTTTTCTCCGTTTTCCTTGTAAGTCAACTACGCTTTGAAAAGTGCTGAATATTGTCATAAATTTTTACAATATTTTTCTTTTTTATACAAAGTTATATGTATATATATATATAAAGCCACATATATATGGTATATGGTGGATACATTAGTAAACTAAAGGGATGTCACATTATTTGTTTAAAAAGGGTTTTCTTAAAAAATGTTTTCGAAGGCCTCTGTGACATTTATATTGAACGTTGCTAAATGAATTCTATTGAGATGGTTCGGGGGATGCTACGCTAGCTTTTTTTGACGAGATGGTAAAGGAAAAATCGTGTCATCGGAATTCCATCGGGGCTTACATATCGCCGAAGATACCAGCGAATGTCTTCCTTAAGTTCTTCATCGTGTCTTCGGAGTCTTCGGCCGCTGCGGCTGTCGTACCCGAGGTGGTGGATGACTGTCGGCCAAAGGAAGGCCGAGCAGTCGTGGCCGCCGTACCGCTCACTGAGGAGACCGTGCTCGTCTGAGACACTGTAGAAATTTAAGGTTAATTATTTTTTTTTTTAAAGTTACTTGATTGAGTACCTTGTGAGTCTCTTCTGGGCTGATTAGGTACGCTCGAGGCTTCCCGACCGTCGTCCTCTTCTGCCTGGCTCGTGACGCTCATTCTGGACGTCGCCTTGGACATCCCGGGCGCCGGGGGCTTGCACACTGCCTGCATCTTCTGGCAGACGAGGTCTGCTATGAGACGCCTGTCCTCCTCCTGAGAATCGCCCATGAGGCTCAGAGCGCAGTCGTTCACCTCGATGATGGCCTCGCGGCCATCCCTCGCGACTATAACCTCAAGGGCGCACATGTCCAGTCCGTCGAACAGCTCTGAAACCGCGTCGATCCAGCTCTTGTAACGATCAACCATCTGGATCTGTTCCAGCATCGCCGACCCCGTGTTAGTCTTCCAATTCCCCGATATCGATTTTCTCCTGAATAAAAATTACAAAACCATCAGATAAAATCCTTACTAAAAAAGATGATTAGGTCTTACATGAAGGCTTTATAATTGTTGCCAATCTTCTGTATGTGTATGTCGTACTTGGAGTCGATGTAAGGCTCAGCGGTGCAGTAGGTGTTCGCGACGGCGACGACGGACGCCACGTCTTGGAAGTCAGAGTTTGTCTCCACCTTGAGCTTTCCCAAGCCTGAGTGGGCATGGCCGATCTTCACAACGGCGGGCAGTTTAGAAGATGACATCTACAGAAAAAATATATTATTAAGGAAAATTGGCTTATTTAAATAGTCTGTTACCATCTCTTTCCAGTTGGGATAGAAAGATTGGTCTATGAGCGGAAAGTTATCCTTGCCGAGCTTCTTCTGGAGTGAAATGAGGTGGCCGAAGACCCAAGGCTTATCCTGGAAGTTGTAAATTGCCGAGAGCGTGTTGATGCTCGGCACGCCGCCGTACTTGAGGCCGAGCAAGGTCGACTTGTAGTCCTCCCCGGCGTCCTTCAGGTTCTGCCGAACGAGGACGAAATCCGGCTTGAACGACCTGGCGACCCGGGTGCCGTTCCTGATGACGGTCATGTTGACGAGGGTCCCCTGGTCCGAGCTGGCGATGAGCGAGACCTCACGGAACTCGGCCTGTTCGACCCTGATGTCGTAGTCGCCGTGGATCCTCCTCACCCTGAAGTACTTGGACCAGTCCGTGTTCTGGTCGTCGATGACCAAGAGGGTGAAACACCTGTCTTTGTTGTACGATGGTCTCGCCGCGCTAGAGACTGCAGCACCTGGAAGAAGAGTTGAGATGATATGGTTCTTTTTTTTTTGTTTTCTTTTTCCTACCGATGAGGCTGGCTCCTTGTTCCTTGGCCGCCCCTGTCAGGGACTGGACTCTCTGGAGGAGGCTTTCCCTCGTCTTAGCCGGGCTGGACGGTGCGGACGTCGTCTTGCTACCTGGCCTGGAGAATGAGAGCGACGAGGGCGGCTGGCCGGACTGTTGCACCGCTTGACCCGGCGGACCCGCTCCCGGCGTTCCATGGGCCTCCTGCCCGGGCAGAGGGCTCACGGACGCCGACTGCGTCGAGCCCGGGGGCGGTGGCGGCACCTTGGGCTCGTCATCGAGCTCCGACGACAAGTCACCGGAGCTGAACCTGCGGATGAAGTCACTGCCTTTCAATTATCGCATCCCATTCGTCCAACCGGCCTAGGCTACCATTCTACCACTACGACTACTGGGGGTCAAGCACGACTTTCTGCTGTGTACTTTCAACGTGCCGAACGACAGACCACGTGATTTGACGCGACGTTGCGGACCACGGATTCGACACAGCAGTCACCGTACAATGAAGGTCGTGGCAGCTTACCTTCGTTTCAGGTAGTTGACATTTGAGGTGAAGGACTGCTTGAAGCTGGAAAAAGCAATTTTGACGGTTTGTCGTACTCTGGTGGGAGAAGATGGGGTTGGAACAGCCGGCTACAGCTATTCCGGATCTACCTACAACAAATACCCAAAAATTCTTTCTTCCACATATAAAAATGCACATAGTCATCCCTTTATAAGAAAAAACGGATAGGCTCCCTAAATTTAGAATTAAAAAGCCCAATAAACACAGATAAGCTAATCTCTTTAAAGATTAAACATTTATTTATAATCGAGATTCTTTTTTCTCGACCGTCCTTGTCTGGATGATAACAATATCCTCAAAGAGAAAAGAAACCGCAGTTCCCTTCGGGCTCGAGGTCGCTCTACCTTTCCGTCAACAACGGAAACTCTCCTCCTCGCCCCAAATCCTCCGGAATTGACCCAGATTAATCAATTGTACAGGTTGTCGCAGACGGCGAATTATTCTAGACTGGGGAGGGCGTCTGGTCAATGAACTCTCCTCTGGAAGGAGAAGATCAATAGGGGAGACCTAGCCTTCCTTTATTCCTTTTCGGGCACGCTCGACAACGCGATGCTTTTGAGTTTTTATTTTTTTTACATCACTTCCCCCACACAGATAGTCAAAACCAACAATAGAGCAAGCGAGTCAATAATAACATAATGTACCACTCCCGGATGCACTGGTTGGTCTCAATTTGATCTGTTTGCATGTCGGAACCTAAATAAACTTTGGTCATCCACTTTACATTCTCTCACTCTTTCTCACGTTCTCTCTCTCGCTTTTACTCTACCCTCCCTCTTTTTATATATATATATATATATATATATATATATATATGGAAGCACTCAGCACTCCTTGACAACAGAAGTATAGAATGTGTTCTGTTTTTGTAAATTTTTTCACCCTTTTACTCACTTTCGTTTTATGGCTATATCATTGATCTGGATTGGTCAATGACTGAAACGGTGCTTTGCAAGTTTGAATCCGTCGATGTTCACTTGTAGCCTGATTCTTGTTATTTTTGCTCCTGATGCGGAGTACAGATCCATCTCTAAATCACTTCCCCCCCCCTCTCTCTCTTTTAAATCTTTCTCTCTATTATACTCAAACATATGGGTTATCATGAAGAAGAAACATGAGCATCGGACATCATAGATAGTCAATAGTAATCAGAGAGTATTCGGTTTGTTAGAATTCATCAAGCATTAGTTATGCACCGTCATCAATAGTTATGACTTGGGAGACTGGACGGACCCATAACACGAAAATCATCAGATTCGGGGACGCCATGAATGGTCTTTCGTGTCGTATGCGAGCCGAAGTTCTGTTGGCCAATAAACCACAAAAAAAAAAAAATAGTGAAGAGAGATTAACAATCCGCGAAGCCCTCGGTTCCACTATAAATGACGGGCGAAGCCTCTCGGACATGAAAGAGTAAGCGGATCCACCGGCATGTTCCACCGAACGGAAAACATTTTGCTTTTGTTCTTATAAAATCCTATTTGCTAGATTTGGCTCTGCCTGGTTGGCGCCTAAATCAAAGCGAGACTGAACGATTGGTCATCGGATGCGAGGAACATTGGAAAACGGTCCGCTGCCTTTCTGGGTTTGTTAAAATTGATTGGTCATTAATGGTACCATCGGAAACTTGGCGAATCCAAGGTCACCTAAAGAAACAACAGACTTCATCTATGAATCAGTGTTTCTCTGAGTTTTGTAAGAAAATAACCGGTACGCTTAGTTGATGGCTCATTAGCGATGCCAAGTGAGACTGTACGGATCCAAAGGTTTTGGCCATTATTGGCAATGGGTGAGGGGGTTATTTACGGCTGTTTAAAGCGAGACGATGCGGATGACAAATTGGTACAAGCAAACACTCAACTCATTATCGGTCGTGTTTTGTCAAGCGAGACCACGCGGACCGCAGTCACGTCCGAGAAGCCGCAACAGTTGCGACGATTTCCCCTGAGTACGCGGCGGATCGATCGCGTCGAGAATAGCCCGTTTCGGGCCCGCACCGTCTCGCGTTTTACTGGGCTGAAAAAAATTAGCAAGGGTGGAAATACAAGGTGCCTGGCGAGGTGCCACCCCGCAAAAGGGTAAACGTTTTCACGTCAGGTTGTGCCGAGGTGGGGGCGTGCCTTTTTTCAAGTTATTCGATAAATAAGGAATAAAAGAGGGTTCAGACTAAAACAGAAACGTGGACAATGGAAACTTGAAAAGTTAATTATGTGCCCTTTTGAGTAAACTTAAGAGTTTGGAATAATTTTACGCAATAGGAAGGATATTGTTGAAAATAATTTTGGATACGGAAGAAATAGTGGTTAACCTTGGATAAAGTGGATGGATATTTTCAAGACTGGGCTGGTGGACAGTGTCGCATCACTTTCTCCATTGGAAATTGCCAGAGTTTTCCATTGATTTTCCATTTTATCGGAATGTTCTTTTTTAGGCATTTCAGTTCTTCTTTGGTTATTTTTTGGTTGAACAATAGAGAATGAAAGGAAAGCCACTGGAAAAGCAAGGAGGTAAAAAACCAACGTACTTACGTGAATATTCCGAAAGGCAGGAGGTCCCTTTCGGAAGGGGGAAAAGCGAGAAAGAGAGAGAACGGGGCCTGGAGCGGATTTCACCACCGTTCTAACACTGCCGAAGGGGGTGTGGACGCGACAGAGAGCCGAGGGTTGAGGGAGGCGTGGCAGCGGATCAATAAACTTACCCCCTACCATCCTCGGCCACCGCCCGATTTCGAAAAATAACCCCTACTGTATTTTGAAAAAAAAATTAACAAAAAATCAAGATGTTTTATTCAAGGAGCAGGTTGATTTGACATCCCCGAGGTGGGTTTTCAGGGTGGTTTCTGAGAAATTTGAATTCTGAGGTTTTAGGAGGGGTGCGCGGATCGATTTCCCAAGCGGGATTTTTAAACGTTTTCATAGTCCAGAGATGTTCCGTTTTAAACATGAACATCATCCAGAAAATGGTCCGGCTAGTCTCGCTTTTCAGTATTTGGTAGAATATGTGGTCCAATGACCTGGACTGTATGAAGAATATGAAGGCTGTTTATTAGTGCAAGGTCACTCGCGCCGAAGTACTGCTCGTACTTAGCTGTGAATAATGTGAACAACAGTCCGCCTAGACTTGCTTTTCCCAAAGTAACGGATGGCCCAATATCCTGAACTGTACGGCGAACGTAGGCTGTCCATGGGTTGAAGGTAGTAGACTGGTGCCAATGCAATGCACGTATTTAGACGTGAATCAATTGAACAATGGTCCGCCTAGTCTTGCTTTTTCCACCTAACAGATGAGCCGATATGCTGGAATGTATGAAGAATATTGGGTGCTTATGAGTTCAGGGTAGTACTGTTGAGTGTGGCACTTATATAGTCGTGAATAGTCCGAACAATGGTCCATCTAGTCTCGCTTTTCCCCACCTTGGTATAACTGACAGCCCCATTGCTGTCATTACGTGATATATGAAGAAGGTTGGGTGTTTGAGTATAGGGTAGTACAGTTACTCTCAAGTATTGCACTATTTAAGATATGGATCATTCGAACAATGGTTCGCTTAGTCTCGCTTTTTACCTGACTGATGAGACGATGTTCTGAATTGTAAGAAGAATGTTGTCTGTTTATGAGTTCATGAAACACTCGTGTCCAAGTACGTTATTTGGACGTGAATTGTACGAACAATGATCCACCTTGTCTCGCTTTTTTTCAATTTGTTAGACGGGTTATTCTAGTAGGATAACCAAGAACCATTTAATGTGGTTTTATTCTTATATTTTTATATATATAAAGTACAAATATAATAAATAGACGGTAGGAGACATTCATGAGTTGTCTTCCATCATGATCGGCTTGCCGCACGGTTGCATGTCCACCTGTTTGCCTTCAAGCAGCAGCTCCCCTCCGACAGGGCATAGGCGAATCCTGTAAAAAAAGACTTCAGTATCCGAACGATTTTAAAATAAAAATTTAAAAAAACACAGCAAGTATACCCTGAAGACTCTGTTAGGTTTTCGACAGTGACGCTCTCAAGGTGTATTGTGGACACGCTGACCCTCCAGGTGAACAAAAAGAGCGTGGTTGAGTGGATGAACGTCACCTTGGCCGATTTGACCCGGCCGACTTGCGACGCGGCGACCGCCTGGGTATGGACATCACCCGGTTTATGAGTCATCTCCCTGAAACACTCATTACATTAAGTTTGTATTTTTTTAAACTGATGAAATGTTTTTTTACTTGAGAAAAGTGATGCTCTCCGTTTCCCCTTGGACTCCGACGATTTTGATTTTGAAGTAGCCGACCTCGCCCTTGTGAATTCGGCTCTCTTCCGACGAGGATATCCTAAAGGTCAGCTTGTACAGCGCTCCTGGGAAAAGACAATGGAATAAGAGTTGAAATCATATAGGGTGGAATACTTACTGCAATATGGCTTTTTTGCTCCGGTGATCGTGTACAGCTTGACCTGAGACCGGCCGATCGGCGGGTTTTCCGAGGCGAAGAAGCCCATCCTGGCGCATTCCGGTCTGTCCGGTTTCTGCGGTAATAAAACATTACAAGCGTTTTCTTTTTTTTTTTTTTAACGGTCCGGGGTTGGCCTACCAAAGCGCTCTTACAGTTGAAGCACTCCCCTTTGAGGAATTTCGAATAGGACTCACACTCGACGGCTAGGAAGTCGCACCGGTCATATAAGCTCTCGATGAAGTATTCGTAACTGCGGACGTGGTTGCAGCCGATCACCCTGCGAAACGCTACAACAGAAGGTGATTTATACGTCGAAAAATTAACCTGTTAGTCTGACCTTTGATGAACGTCCAGTCCATTTCCATGTAGTTGCCGACGGATTTGTTGCACCCAGGCTGGTCCAGGCCTCCGTTCGGGTAGAAGTCGAGGTGGCCGATCGGCTCGTCAAGTCCAAGCCCACCCTGGATGAACGGTGTGTTGTCTGTATGGATGACGTCCACGAAAAGAGCGTCAGTTGGGTCAAGACGGACGACTGGGTCAGTTTTTGAGAAGTGCGGCTTTGCAGGGTCCAAAGCTGAAAAAAGACACCTTTATAAACTACTCATTACATTATTTGGAGGATAATCCATTACCTGATATCCGTCCGAGGGTGAGACCGAATCGGCTTTTCAACACGTGGCCGATGTATCCGTTCAGATGGGCACCCAAGGAATGACCGATGGCGTGACACTCTTCAGGCCTAATGCCCATTTCTTTCTAAAAAACAAGAGTAACGACTTGAAAGTCTTGAGTGAAACCGTCTATGCAGTTACTTACATGTAAGGCGTTGAGCAATAAGGCGGCCATGGTCCCGACCACCCTCGTATCCGCGACAGCCTGCGTGTACGGCGGGTTGGACCCACCCTGCCACCCGACGACGATGACGTTCGAGTCGGAAACATTTAATAGGCGCCGTTTCAGCAGTTTGATCCATTTTTGACCACCGTGTTCCAGGAAACCGTGGGAAATGAGGAACGTCCGCCCAGCACGGATCATGGTGCTGTTGGCGAATGTGGACGGCTTGTCGTAGAAGAGGCGGTGGCACGTGTCCCTTTCCTTGCGCGTGTACAGGCAGAAATCCGGGTCGATTTGTTCCGGCGAATGGGGAAAATTGGACACGGGCCTCGTTTCTGTGACCCAGGGGGCGTTGACGGAAAAACAGCCGACACCGTCGTAGCAGACGTCTTTCATATCTACACCAAAAGCACTCAATGATACTGCGATACCCTGTATATATCGGTTTAAAAAGTAACCGTAAGTCATAACCAAGATTTGTCTTTCTGGTCGACCAGTCTCGTTTTTCCCCACCTTTGTATAACAGATGGCCCCATGGCCTACACTGTGTGAAGAACGTTGGGTATTTATAAGTTTAAGGTTGTATATGCGTCCTGCGCGTGTGTAGACGTGAATCATCCGAACAACGGTCCGCCTAGTCTCGCTTTTCCACCGTGGTATAACAGATGAGTCGACGGCCTGGACGGTATGAGAAATGTTGAGTGTTTATGAGGTATTATTATTAGCACAATCGGGCCGAATTGGTAATTATAGAGACGTGAATAATCCGGACAATGGTCCGGCTAGTCCCGCTTTTTCCCACTTACTATAACTGAAGGCCCTATGACCTGGGCTGTATGCGGAATGTTTGGTGTTTATGAGTGCTGGGAAGTTCATTTGAGTATTGACGTGAATCGTTCGAACAATGATCCGCCTAGTCCCGATTTTCCCCCTTGGTCTAACTGACGGTCTAATAATGGTGTGGACATACTCTTGAAAGTAAAGAAAAAACTTACATTTCCCTTGATCTGCCAGGCTTATCGTGTTCGTCCAACGGTTCGTCGTACCCGTCGAGGCGTTGGTGACGGCGAGGAGCATCGCCGTCTGCAGCAGCACGCTGCCCGTATGGTTGTACATGACTTCTGATGTCAGATAATAGCAAAAGAAAATTCCCTTTTCTCAACAGCTATCCGGTCGTTTTCTGATCGAAGACTGGGCGAAACGACGATCACAAATCCCTTATCTAGGTCGGGGGTCAAGGATTAGATAAAACAACAAATAATAAGTAGATTATCACTCACTGGACGATGACGGTTTGACGCGGACTCCGAGTCCAAATTCGCAGATATTTTGAAAGAATCAGTATTACACAACGGTTTTTCAAGTGACGCGTTTGTTTATTTGTTGTTTGTCACGTCAACACCCTTGGACCTCGTGGCAACCACCAAAACAGTCATGGAACAATACTTGTCCATCTAAATAAATATTTACTTACTTTCCAACTTTGCCTTTCAACTCCATTTTATACCAAAACCTAACCAATAACAATTTATTCAAGTCATACAAAATGTATAAAGAACAAACAATATTACAAATGTATAACAAACCTTTAAAATATCTGGACCACTTAAATTTAGCTTAAGTAACCTTTCAGTGATGCATCAGGAGCAGACGAATAAAATAACCTCTCAGTGCTGCTTTGAGAGCAAAAACCAGTGATAGTAACCTCTCAGTAATGCATCAGGAGCAAATGAATAAAGAAACCTCTCAGTGATGCATCAGGAACCAAACGAACAAAGAAACCTCTTTCTCAGTCATGCATCAGGAGCAAACCAATAAAGAAACCTCACAGTGATGCATCAAGAGCAAACGAATATAGAAACCTCTCAGTGATGCATTGAGAGCAAAAACCAGTGATTGTGACCTCTTAGTAATACATCAGGATTAAATGAATAAAGAAACCTCTCAGTGATGGATCAGGAGCCAAACGAACAAAGAAACCTCTCTCTCTCAGTCATGCATCAGGGGCAAAATAATAAAGAAACCTCTCTGTGATGCAGTGAGAGCAAAAATGCAGTAAAAGTAACCTCTTAGTAACTCTTCAGGAGCAAACAAATGAAGAAACTTGTTAGTAATTTCTTTTAAACAGTTTTTATTTGTTATTGAACATAATTATGTGGAATGTGCGTCTTTATATATGTATGTATATATTTAAAGCAACCCAAAGTGTAATGCATATATATCAGTAAGATCCGTCGAATCCTTTCAGTTGAGAAACGGTATGCTGGTCCTGTGTTCCTTGGGCGCCACTTTCCCCCTGGATCTCGCGCCGTTCATCACCTTGGCGACAAACTTCTCGTCCTGTCTCGCTTTGTCCTTACCCCATTTGGGCTTGAGGCTCAGGTCGATCTCGGGCTTCGGCATTTCCGCCTCCTCCGCCCTCAGCATGGAGAGCCGTTCCCCGTCCCTGTAAACCATGCACGCCGCCCTCAGCGTGAAGTAGTAGACTATCTCGACACCCGAGAGGAGGGAAAAGCCGAGAAAGAGTCCCGCTATGCCACCGAAGGACACTGTGGACATGAATTTACTGTTATGTATTTCCGAAGTTGAAATGTTGTATGACTCACCCAGTAGGTCAACCCAGCCGAACAGCACTTCCCTTTTGTATCTTATCATAGGCCAGGATACGAATCCTATCTCGAGTTCGTCCTCTTCCCTGTGTTCCACGTCGAAAAACAACATCAAATACTCAAAAACATAGATGACACTAAGATGGATGTAAGTGCAGGTGGGGGTAAGATTGGGCTGTGATGCACGTAGGTAGAGGTGGGGATCAATAGGTTAATAGAATAGGTACAGATGAATGTACATTGGACCCCTAGATGAATATAGGTCCAGTGAGAGTAGATTGGAATATGGTAGGGTAGATTGAACACTGAGATGGACATATGTAAAAGTAGATGAAGGTAGATTGGACCTGAGATAGGCATAGGTCCAGGTAGGTGTAGGACGGGTGCTGGACATAGGTACAGGTGGGGATGGTTAGGGATGTGGATTTGACACTGAGATTATCCTAGATTCACGTGAGAGTAAATCGGGCGACAGACATAGGTACATGTGGAGGTGATTTGGACTCTGTGGACCTTGTGCATAGGTAAAAGTGAAAGATAAGGACACTGAGTTTTATATACAACAGGTGGGAGTAAATTGGGCACTCACATGAACGTTGGTAAGCGTGGAGGTATGCATACTGAGTTGGATGGAGGTACTGGTTAAGGTAGATAGACATTGTAATGAACATAGGTAGCGGTGGAAAAAGATAGGACACTGAGATGGACTGAGAAATGGGGATAGATTTCGATTTTATGTTGGACGTAGATACACATAAGTGAAGGTGGACATAGGTCCATAGATAATACGTAGATAATACAGGTGGAGGTACATTGGACACAGACGTGGATATAGGTACAGGTAGGTAAAGGTGGATTGGACCTGAGATGGACATAGGCACAGATTGGATATTGCGATTGTTATAGTTACAGGTAAATTTGACACTGAGGTGGATATAGATTTGTGCAGGTAGAATTAGATTAAACCCTGAGGTGGACATAACTAAATGTAGAGGTACTGAGTTTTAAATACATAAGTACAGGTACAAGTAGATTGGGCACTGAGATGGACTTAGGTACAGGTAAGTGAAGGTAGATAGGACGTGAGATGGGCATAGGTCCAGGTTTGAGCACATTAAGTGATAGACTTAGGTACAAGTATAGGTCGATTGAATACTGAGATGATCGTAGGTAAATGTGAAGTTTTAAGAATACTGTTTTAAGAACTGAGTTTTATATACATAGGTGCAAATTGGGCCTGAGATATACATAGGTACAGGTGGAGGTAGATAGATGGAAATGATATTTTAATGGAATATGAAACATAGTGATGGATATTTGGTTACCCCATCTGCGCATCATTTAGCTTTTCCACCTCGTAGACAGTGTTGTCGCATCCTAGCTCACATGGGCAGTTAAGCCCCTTCTTCATAGTTTCTTTAAAGGAAAAAGAAAAAAAGCTCAATTTCTAAATAAAGTTCGAGCTTAGAACTAACACTCAATACCTATGTGTTGGGATAAACAGATAAGCCCATCGAGCTTGCAGTAAGGGAAGCCATCTGGAGGAAAAATATCGTAGTTTTAAGATTTGAAGCGTTCAAGATAGCGCGTATACCTTTCAACATAGTGCGACCACTCACCGACTTTGTGGTAGAAGAAAGGCACGCACGAACATTTCTCCATCGAGTACCTCATCCTGCAGTCGGTCATGCAGGCCCAGTACGAGTACTCGGGGTAGGTGCGGAGGTTCACCTCGTCCTTGAATATGCACTTCCTCTGCTTGGCGGTCAGCTGGCGCGTGTCGTCTTGAATGAGAAGAAAGCTCACAGTTTGTAAAAGTGGGGAGGAGGGAATTCACAGGGCTTACTCGTCGTGTACGTCATCCGGGCCGCGAAGTATATCTTGTTGGTTGTCTTGACCCAGATGTGCTGCGGTGCCATCTCGGCGCTCGGTAGCTCCTCTGAGTCGTGTATGTATATCTTAAAAAAAAAAAAAGTTTAAATGCTTTCAGTAGCAAAAACAATGATGACTAGATTGATACGTTATAGGAGATCACTGATGATATGTTTTCAGCGTTGAACATTAGAGACCATTTGGAGTCTGTTTCGTAAATCTCCTTCACTTTGAATTTTTCGTTTGGTTCGATGCCTTCAGGCCTTCTGTACTGACAGAAACTGTCTTTATATTTGTTATTTGTACTTTATTGTTTGACTGTTACCCTGGCCAGTCGATCTCTGCGTTCTTTGTGTTGAAAGAGTAGCAGAATCCGTTTTCCGTGAATGTCGGCTTGAAGACGTCACAGCAGCCGATCGGTTCGCCTTTCCACTCGCAGTCGAACATGAGCTCTTCGCAAGGGTAGACGATCTTGTATAAGAGCTGCCTGAAGCCTCCCTGATCCAGATCCGCCTTGTCCTTGTAGCCAACGATCTCGGGGAAGTTGCGGTACGAGAAGTTGCCGACGGTCTTGATGAAGGACTCGTACAGGTGGAGCTTCTCCTCGGAAGCGGACTCGCCCCATTTCCTGAGGAGGAAGGAAATGTTCATCCGTGGACAGGGGGTGGATAAGGCGCCAATTTGTAACGTAATCCCTAGGCTCTCCCATTCCTTAACTAACTAACCATCTGACTGTCAGAACCGTCCAGCTGATTAGAGTGGTTAGAAATCGCCTGTTTTCGATAGAGTAGGTCGAGGTGATAGGTTGCGATTGATGATAAGAGATGGATGGTTTAAAAATCTTAGGATAATGATGGTTCGTTATGATAGATGAATAGTGATAGTAGTTTAATAATGGTTCGTTGGGCTAGACTGGGCAAATGACAGTGTTTATTGGGATCGATAAGTGGGATGAATAGTATGGATGGCTGGTTTGTGATAGTCGGGGTGGAGAGTTACCTAAGAGAAGATAAATGATGGTTCGTTGAGTTGAACGGTTAGTAATAGTTATGATGGTCACTTAATGTTAGTTGATAGGATGGTTGGGGTTAGTAGGCTAAAGATGGTCCGTTTTGATGAATGGTTGGAATGGATGGTTCAGTAACAGTTGGAGAGGACCTTTAGTGTTACTAAGATAATAATGGCTCGTCGGGATGGATAGTTAGTGATAGTAGGTTGATGAGGCAATCAGGAACCGACAATGACAAATGAACAAGAATGTGGCCGGGACCGAGTGTGTGTGCCGTTGGCTGAGGTCAGGGGCCGTGAGTAGGTTGACTCTACAGCGGTTGAAGGGACCCTGGTACAGCAGGTAGCCAAGTGCAGAGGCTGGCCAGTAGCCTTGTCGGCTGTGTTGAGAAGGCGAGTTGGAGACTAATGCTGGGAGTACCCTTGCCATCGTCGTCGGTTCTCCATTAGTGATTAGTGAGAACTCGTCGGGGAGACGAGACTGGAGGTGTGAAGTGAGACCTTGTCGGGGAGACGAGTCTCGAGGTGTGAAGTGAGATCTCGTTGGGGAGATGACTCTGAAGCCATTGGGGCAGTGCCCCTGCTTATATAGGCACTGGCTCTGTTGTGATTCGCTGCAGAGTGGATGGCGAGACCATTCTACACCCAGTAGTGGCACATAGCGGGTACCATGGTAACTGTCGGTGGCCACCATATAGCTCCCCCAATGGGCGAGCCTCTCCAAGCTGCGGATCAATAGTGTAGTGTGGCGTGTTCTTCCAGTAAGTTCCTCCCAGTCCCTAAATTATTCCAGGGAACATGTTCACGTTGTGTGTTTACAAACTATTATACAAAAATAAACATGAAGACTATTTACATTAATTTTGACGGGATCTTGAACATTGGTACCTTGGATAGCCCCTTATAGCCAAATAGGACAAACGATTGAACCACACTGAATCTTTTTTAGGGATGGTCTTTTTTATTTTCCCTATTTCTCACCTCATGTGAAGAGCATCGGTGTACCACCGGACCGCTGTAGGTTCACAGCCAACCATCTTACTATTATAACCAACCAACCTCTAATTAGCCATCCCTATTCATCCTCCCACAACCGACGATCATTAATCTAACGGCTAAAGATGGTTAGTGTTGGTTTGCCATGGTTGTCCCAGTGGTCACATTCCCATAATTGTATGTGGGGGCTTTATATTTAGAAACTGGCGATCAGGACTTACGCTTTGGCGAGTTCTGCGACCCGTTCCCGGCTCACGGGGTTGGTCGGGCACAGGGATATGCCGGGGAAAGGTACGTCCCAGTTGTGAAAGTCCGTGTCCAGGCCTGTGATGGTCGGGTTCGTCTGGAACTTGTCCCAAAGAGAGACGATGATGATCAGCGTGACTATCGCCCCGATTGCGACGAATATGAACCACATGAGCCTGTGGGGGAAAGTCGAAAAATTAAATCGACGTTCTTTTTTTGTCATGCAACGCGCACCTCTCGTACGCCGGGCGACCCTTCTCCGCGATGAAACGGACACCGTGGAGTGTCGAGTTGGCGAAGAACTCTGTCGTCTGGTGCTTCAGGGACGTCTCGAGAAGCTGGTGCTTTTTATAAGGTTGCTTTCTCATTTCATCTGGCATCTCGTTAAAATGGGTGACACAATTCATTCAAAACAAACTGAAAAGTGAAAATGTCGGAAAACAGTTTATCAAGAACACAGATAACAAGAAACAGACTACAAGTTGACTGATTCAAACTTGCAGTGTACCAATCAATACCAATCAATTATCAATAATAAAAAAAAGAAATATTAACAGCTAAAAGGTGATGAAATATTAAAAAGAACAATTAACAATTATACACTTCTGTGCCGTTTTATTATTAATGCTCAAGCATACATTCTCGTCTTACTTATGCCACAATCATACAGTATAATAATTTAATAAATTAATTACAAATTCATTGCAAGCTGTTACCTTTACAGAGCGATGCAGGGGAATAGATTTTTTTTTAAACTGCACACACCCTTACGTGACACGAAGCTATTACACTAGGGTGATATCTCGTTTGATTATCGTGATCAGTGATGATTTGGTCGATTTATATTGGCGTGTCCGGAACAATCGCCGGACTGATTTGTAAATATATTGTTTATTCAAAATTTGAACGGTTTCGGACCTGAGGAATATCGGGGAAATGTGAGCATTAGGTAGGAAAAAGAAAATTGCACAACGCGGAAAAAAAATAACTTTCAATCGTGAACAAAAGTTACCACGAAGTGTTTTTTAAGTGTTAAACAAAAAAAATTAAAATTAATAGACAAATGGACGTTAAAAAAGGGGAAAAACTCAAGTTACCTAATACATTATTTCCTCGGTATATTAAGGTTTTATTGAAAACTTTAAGGTGTAGTGCGTAATTCTTTGACCACAAAAGTTCAAGCAAAATTGTTTTATAAGTGTCAAACGAAGAAAACCTAAAGAAATGGTCAAAAATATCCAAATTATCAAAGAAATAATTCGACATTAGTCACGTCCTTTGTTTTCGAAGGATTTATTGAAAACTTTTGTGTTTGTTAATCAATTTATTTCTCTGAAGACTTCCAAAATTACTAATTTCTATTTTACATAGAATGAAATCCAAAGAAATGTGGTCACTTTGGTCAAAAATAGTTCAATTTTTAAAGAATTAATTCGACCATTGTCTCTTTCTTGGGTTATTAGCGTTTAATGGGAAACTTATGTCGCTTAATTTATTAATTTCAACACTTCAGGCATAACTGATTTGTAAGGGCCAAAAAATGAAAATACAAGAAATGATCAGATCGGCCAAAATTATCCAAATTTTCAAAAAAATGGTACGACAATAGGGACAACCTTGGTTTATTAGAGTCTATTAGGGTTTGTCGCATAATTTAGTGCCTAGAAAACGTAAAAAATAACTCCTTTTGAATAGTCAAATAAAACCCAAAGAAATTGTTAAATCGGCCTAAAAAACTCAAGTTTAAATAGAATAATTTGACAATAGTCACTTCCTTCGTTTGTTGCAGTTTCCTTGTACACTTTAGGGTTTATTCCCTACAAAACTTTAGGCATAACTGCTTTATAAGTTACAAAACCCAAAAGAATCGGCAAAGTTGCCAAAAAAAAAAGAAGGCAAAATCCAAAAATATAACTATTATAAGCCATTTCCACATTGTTTTATTGGAAACTAGCATTTCGTAGCATAATTATTACGCAGAAAATTTCGAAAAATAAGTGATTTTTATAAGTAAATTATGACAAAACACAAAGAAAAGGTTAAATTAGCCAAAAATATCCAAATTGCCAAAAAATATTTCAACAATAATCACTTCCTTGGTTCATTGCACATTTCTTGGATACGTTAGGGTTTATTGCCTACAAAATTTTAGGCATAATTGGTTTATAAGTGTCAATGAAAGAAAGCCCAAAAGAATCGTCAAACATTTCTAAAAATATAACTATTATAAGCCATGTTTTTTCACGCTTTATTGGAAACTTTAAGGTTTATTGCCTACAAATCTTTAGGCATTGTCTAGCATAATATTTAAGCAAATAATTTCGAAAATAAGTAATTTTTATGGGACAATTAAAGAAATCTCAAAGAAACTTTTAAAACCATAACAAAAAGAAAAAAAGACATCTTGATAATCATTTTCTTGGATTATTAGGGTTTTATTAGAAACTTTACGGTTTTTTGCCTACAAAACTTGAGAAGTAACTGCTTTATATGTGTCAATTAAAGAAAACCCAAAGAAATGGTCCAATTGGCCAAAAAATAGCCAAAAATTTAGACATATCGTGACGATAGTTACTTCGTTGGATTACTAAGCTTTTATTGGAAACTACGGTTTTTTGCCTACAAAACTTGAGAAGTAACTGCTTTATAGGTGTCAATTAAAGAAAACCCAAAGAAATGGTCCAATTGGCAAAAAAAGCAACAAAAACTCTAACGTATTATGACGATATTCACTTCCTTGGATTATTAGGGTTTTATTGGAAATTTTATAATTTATTGTATACCAAACCATCCAGAATATTGCAGTAATAAATGTATTTAAGTGTTACACAAAAGAAAAACTCAAAGAGACTGATCATCTAAAGATAGAAACCATGAGCCTCAATCATACGTCCTTCACACCCATGGTGGTTGAAAGATTTTTATCGGAAACTTTTCCGTTTGTAAGTCATTATATCGCATGGGAAACTTGTGAAATAGATTTTTATTTAATTTATCTTTAAATTTATGAAGAAATAGTTTGTTTTTAGGTGGATATTTTGTTTATGTTGTTATGTTTTTGATAAGAGTGATAAGAGGTCATAGGATAACAGTCTTGGAATTTCGTAACCTTCCTGCTGTCAATTTTACTTGTATTTTGTTTTCTTATGTTCGCGGGATGTGTTTTTGTCGTTTTTTTAATGTTTTATAGTTGATTTTTATAGTTGATAATTTAGTATTTGTGTGTTTGTCGTCCGTGATGGAGCCTGAGAGCGGTGGGAGCGTTGAGAAGAAAAATTCCAAGGCGAAGCTACTCCCCTGCCCAGAATGCGATTTCAAGAGCAAGAGCAAGTGGTCGCTGACAGCGCACATCCGCACGCACACGGGTGAGAGGCCATTTGCGTGCACGCTCTGCAGTTACAGGTGCACGCTGAAGAGCCACTTGAAGAAGCACATGATGAGCCATACAGGCGAGAAGCCATACAGCTGCGACTTGTGTGACTACCGTTGCTCGAGCCAGGGCGACCTGAGAAGGCACAGCGTCATCCACACTGGCGAGAAGCAGATCTCATGTAGCCTTTGCGATTACAGGTGTTCGCAGCAGAGCCACCTCAAGCGTCACATGATGGTCCACATGGGCGAGAAGCCATTCGAGTGCACACACTGTGACTACAAGTGTTCGCAGCACTACAACCTCAAAGTCCACCTGCTCACGCACACGGGCGAGAAGCCATACTCTTGCGGCCTCTGCGACTACAGGTGCTCGCAGCAGAGCTCGCTCAGGATGCACATGATCGTACACACAGGGGAGAAACCATACGCTTGTGACCTGTGCGACTACAAGTGCCCGAGGCAGAGCGACCTAAGAAAGCACATGATGACGCACACAGGTGAAAAGCCATATTCGTGCTCGTTCTGCCCGTACAGGTGCAGCGTACCAAGCAGGCTCAAAAGGCACATGAAAAGCTGCACAAAGAAGACAAACCTTTGATAAACACTATATATTTATATTTTATCAAATTGTATTTTTTATATTAATACACAATTTTATTATTTAAATAACTCTTATAAATCTATCAGTGACCTAGGAAATAAAGATTGTTGAGTTATTACTCACACATTAGCTTTCTTCGATTCCAAAAAAACTTATTTTTTAACTTTTCTAAGCAATAAACACTAAAGTTTCCAGGAAATATTAACTAAAAAGATAATATTGTCAGGTTATTCCGTATGGATTTGCAATTTCAATGCATATTTGACTATTTTTTAGAGCTTTTTTGTTTGATTCTTTAAAAAAAAGTTTTTCCAAGGTTTTGAGTTCAGCAAATTATGTAACAAATTCTTAAGTTTTCAATAAACCTTTTACTAATCATATATATATATATATATATATTATGCAGGGTGGGCGATCAAGACCCGAGGGGTTAAATGCCTGGGTAGACTCGTACCCCATCCCTAAAAGGTCCGGGACTTGGTCCCGTTTTACTAATCATATAAATGGATTTGTCAGATTATTTCTTCGTTTTTATGGCTGTTTCAAGCCAGTTGGAACATTTCTTTGGTTTTCTATAATTGAAATATAAAGTAGTTATGTCTCAAGTTTTATAGGCAGTAAACCGTAAAGTTTACAATAAAACCCCAATCAACGAAGGAAATGACTGTGACTGATATATCTTTGGTTTTTTGGTCAATTTTTTTCTTGATTTGTTTTCTTTCTTGAACATCCATAAAACAGTTATTTTTTTAATTATCTAGGCAATAAATACGCCAGGAAATGCTAAAGTTTTCAATAAATCTCTGAAAAACAGTTGCAATTGTGATTGTTAATTTATTGCTTTGAATTTTTGGCTTTTTTCCCAAACCAGGCTATATCTTTGGATTTTTTCATTTTGTCTCTTAAAAACAGTTATTTTTGAAGTCTTCATGGTAATAAATTTGGTAATAAACCCTAAAGTTATCAATGTTTTCAATATACCGACAATAACGCAAGGAAGTAACTTTTGCCAAATTATTATTTGAAATATTGAGATATTTTTGGTCAATTTGACCATTTCTTTGGGTCTTCTTCCTTTGGCACTTATAAAGCTGCTATGTATGAAATATTGGGATCAATAAATCTGACAGTAATTTCAAATAAAACTCTAATAAATCAAAGAAGTAATTGTCGAATTATTCTTAGAAAAATTGAGCTTTTTTATTCATTTTGCCAATTGGACCATTTCTTTGACGTCTTCTGACTTTGACTCTTATAAACCAGCTATGTCTGAAATATTGAGGTCAATAAATTTAGCAATAAACCTTAGACATTTCAATAAAACCCTAATAAACCAAGGAAGTGACTATTGTCAAGTTGCTTCCTTTATGATTTCATCCTATTTATTTTTTTCAGTTTTTGGTTATTTCATAAAAATCCAGTTCCTTGTAAGTTTCCTGTGTTGTAAATTTAGCAAAGAGCTTAAATTTGTTAGTAAATTAAAAGTAATCAAAGAAGAGCCTTGTGTCAAGTCCAATAACTGTTTATTTGGGTTTTCTTAGTTCTAATCTTAAAAAGAAACTATCTCATTAATTTTTTATTTAATTTTCTTAACAATATTCAAATATTTTCTTATGAATTAATTAATTAAAATAATCTATAATGTTCTGACAACTCAAGATGTGACATGAGTCGGTGGAGGTTTCGACCGGCCAGGTTATGACCGTCAGCCTTTGCCGAGTTTCTCCCAGGGTTTCCTTTTTTTCGGAAAATAGTTTTATGTTTTTATTTTTATCGTTTTACCTCGGTGGCGGAGAGGGAAACAGGAAGAAATACGTGAAAATGCTTTCCTCGGTTGATATCAAGGATTTTTTTTTGTTTTCAACTTTTCATAACCTTACACGTAACCTCCCTGTCAACTTTGTTTTGTAGTTATTTTGTCCTTTTGGACTGGCTGAAGGGGTATTTTTGTTTTATGAGTTTTTTTTACATATTATTTTCCACTTATTCAAGCCGGATCGGATAGGACGATCAAAAGGACAAACCCATGGATCCAGGGTAGATAAAAAAATATTTATTTTAATTTTTAAAGCTAAATGTCTTATCTTTTTGTCCTGGACTAGAGTTGAATTAGTATATTTTCAAAGAAAGTAATCTGTTTTGATAGTACTTTCTCATGTTTTTACCTTATTTGAACAAGGGTGAACTTTGTTGAAGACTTGGTAGAGATAAGGATGTTTATTCTTATCGTTGAGGAGTTTCGAGGGTTGATCAAGTTTAATGTTGAACTTTTAAATTTATATTGTGCTTTTCTTATTTGCCTGGACGCCATTTTGGTGCGATGTTGTTTTTGTTTCGGTTTTCTGATTCGTACGGTATAGAGTTTTGAAAAGGGTTGTAAGCTGTGTTTGTTTTTCAGGTGCTTTCACAGTCGACTTGATTTTTGTGGATGAAAAAGGCCATGGCGATGTAGATGTAGATTTGAAGGGCGTCGGATGGATGTAGAAGGGATCGCCATGGAGCCACACTGCAGCGCCGAGACGCCGTCTAAGCCGTTGTCGTGCGAGGAGAGCGGCGGTTCAGATGCGGAGCCCAGACCAACCGACGTCCACAAGCCTAATGGCATGCTCGCATATGAGTGCAGCCTGTGCGACTACAAATGCAGCCAGAAGACGACTTTCAAATCACACATGTTATCGCACATAGGCGGTAAGCCGTTTACATGTGGCCTCTGCGACTTTCGCTGTGCCCAACAGAACAGCCTACGTTCGCATATGACAGTTCATTCGGGCGAGAAGCCGTACACGTGCCGGCTTTGTGATTACAGATCGACATACCAGAACGACCTGAAAAGGCACATGATGACTCACACCGGCGAGAAGCCGTATGCTTGCGGATTCTGCGACTACCGATGTTCCCACCCCGGATATTTAAAGACACATGTCATGATGCACACGGGTGAGAAGCCGTTCTCCTGCACGCTCTGTGAATACAAGACAACACGCCAGGGACTTTTGAAAAATCACATGATGAGCCATACGGGGGAAAGGCCATACTCGTGCTCGTACTGTGAATACAGAAGCTCGCATAAAAGCTACCTCAAGACGCACATGATGATACATACAGGGGAGAAACCGCATTGTTGCAGCCTCTGCGGATACAGCACAACACGACCAGCGGATCTTAGAAGCCACATGATGAACCACACGGGCGAGAAACCATTCGCGTGCACTTTCTGCGATTATAAATGCAACAACCAGAGCTACCTCAAGTCTCATATGATGTCGCATACAGGGGAGAAGCCGTACGCGTGCACCCTGTGCGATTATAGGTGCACCCGCCTTGGACATTTAAGGGGACACATGACAAACCATACGGGTGAGAAACCATTCGCGTGTACGTACTGCGATTACAGGTGCGCGCAGCAGAGCTACCTCAAAACACACCTGATGACGCATACAGGGGAGAAGCCGTACTCATGCAGCTTCTGCGAGTATAGGTCGGCGAGGCAGGACGACCTGAGGCGGCACATGATGACGCACACGGGCGAGAAGCCGTACGCGTGCACAGTCTGCGACTACACCTGCTACCACAAGTCTCACCTCAAGCGTCACATGTTCACACACACTCGTGAAAAACCTTTTTCGTGTACGTCGTGCAGTTATAGGTGCTCGCGCAAGTCCCAGCTCACGAGGCACATGTCGACGCACAATATTGTACTTTGCGAATGAATTTTTACTTTTTATTTTAAAAGTTTTATATATATATTTAAAAAAAGAAAAAGAAAGAAAAAGCAGATATTCAAGCAAATTTTCTATTTTTGTATTTTTAAAATCTTTATAACATAGTTAATTTTGCTTAAAATCTCACCCTTTGATTGAATTTATAAAAAAAGTGTTTTTATTTGTAGTTATTAAAAAAATTAAATTAAAAATTAAATTAATGAATTATTCATCTAGGATCATTTCTGTAAGTCGTTTTACTCTTGATTTTAGCCTGAATATCAATTCGTCCTTTTCGCTGAGGGCGGCGTTGAGACGAGCGATCTCGCTCTTGAGTGCCTCAGTCTCGTCGGACGGTTCATCATTGTCGGACTGTGAGTAACAAGCATCCTCGATGGAAACATGGACCTGCTCAGGCGGTACGGCATGCTTCCTCTTGCGGGACAGATTTTCGGTAGGGATGGCATTCTTGGTGAGCTTGCGACGACGCTTCTGACCCATGAACTCGGCCTGGAAGTCGCGTTCGAAGCACGCTTCCTTGAAATGCTCCGAGCAGATGTAAGAGCCGTCGGCCTTCCATTCATCCGCTCTGCGGCAGCTCATCATCCACACCTCGCGGAGCCTTGGATCCTTCGGAAACCTAAAATCCGAAGAAAAAAAATTTCTTTGTTTGTATTAAAAAAAAAAAAATCTAAACAAGTACAAACAAATTGACTATAAATAATAAAACTCAATACAGTGTTCAAAAACAAAAACAGTTTCTCACTTTATTCTTAAGGTCCTAATCCAAAATTATACTTTTTTATATGTATACATATATAGTTTTCAATATAGTTGCTGAATTTCCCCTTATGGTCAATTTTCAACATTAAGAAACAATATTTAAGAAGAAAGAAAAGAAAAATCATAGGTATTGCTTGGTGTACTGTAAAAAGATCTAGAGAGGTGAGCTGAACTGCACAGCCATTGATATTACGGTCTGAATTTAATCAATAATTTTTATGTTATAAAGTTTTTTAAAATAAATTTTGTAAAGATAGTATGTGAGCAGAGGAAAATCTGTAAATGTATAAATTAATGTTTTGGGTTTCATTTAAAATTTAACTTTCTGGAAATTATATTTTCATGTCGTAAGACAATATGCCCCTGAGCTTCGGAATGTCCCTGCCTTGCGGTTCACCCGAAGGCCATTGAATTGACCACCTCGACATAAAAACACAACAAATTGAATTCAAACTAATTTTATTTCAGCTTTACAACACAAATTGAACCTGTATCTGACATATAAGAAAAAATTAATTATTGACTGTCATGTTTGTAGGACAATGAGCGAACACGGTTCGAACCTTTAGATTTATTTTATCAAACGGCACTTTTGTGAGTTTAAAAACAATCGAAATTTACGAAAAAAAACTGAATTTGTTAAAATTATATGACCTGTGGAAGGAAATGTCCATGTTTTTCCTCTTAGCGTCGTACCACGTATTAGTGCAGATCGCCACGGCGCAGCAAGTGCCCGGCATCCCCGTAACCTTTTTCCTCCGACCAAAATTCAACAAAAGTTTCTTTTTGAATTGTAAAAAGAGAAAGTAAAAGCAGGAAAAAGTCACAGGGGCAGGAGGTAATCAGTTGAATCACAGCCTTCTTGTAATTCTATGACGTCGGGACGTTAAAGTGGTGGCGAGTCGAATCTTTCTGATTTTTTTTCGGCCCGCAACATTTCGCCTTTTTTATTTTAGGCATATTTCCGTTTTTTAAATTATACTCTTTTTAAATAATAGTCCTAGGGAAAATTAGGTTTTTTAATTGTTAAATGCTGTGGGTTTTATCACAAAATTTTGACCTGGCCGTTTGCAACCTTCACGCTTATCAATTCATCAGGGTACAACAAACTTGAAAGGTACTTGTTTTTTCTTTTTTTTGTTTGTTATTTGCCTTGATAAAATTTGTATTCTTTCTGCTGCTATGATCGCAAGAAACTTTATTCGAAGGCGGTCGATCAGGTATACTTTTTTTTTTAAATCTATTGTGTCTCATTTCCTGTGCTAAGTTGGTCCAACAGTGTTTATTAAAAATGATCATATTCATCAAGTCAAAGTTTTTTTTAACCTTTTTTTTTCTTTCAAAATTTCCAGCCATGACTTATGAACGAGTGAAGTACAGGAAGTTGGAGCGTGACGAATCCGACTCCTACGTTGACGGACAGGTACTTACATACTGGGCGTCCTGATATATAAATCAGAATAGAAGGGATTGTAAAATTTGGTCAGTTTGAGGAAAGGAAGCCGAGTGTGCCATGGAAGGCGATTGCATTCGCTTCGCTCCTCACAACCGTCGGCTTCTCCCTGTTGGTGTTTGGTGTACTCATCGTAAGCGGCCTGGCGGACATCAAGGTGAATGGACATCAGTAACTTAACTTTCATTAAATGTAACGTTTTTAAATTTCCATCAACCAATTTCACATAAATTATTTCTACTATAAAAATTAATTAATAATTAGTATAGTATTAGATTAATTACTATTAGTATAGTAATTAATAAAATTAAGTAGCCAATAAAATAAATCATTATTCGTCAATCAAGAAGACAAAAACGGCTATTGTTAAGGTGGCCCCTCTGCAATTTTAAATTTTTTTAGTTTCAAATGTATTTTATTTTTACAGTACGCCGACAGGATGTGGCCCGTACTCATCCTTGGCGCCCTCATGTTCCTCCCGGGTGCATACCATGTCCGGATAGCGTACTATGCTTTCACTGGCCGGCAGGGATACACATTTGAAGAGATACCGGAATTCGACTAAACCTTGACGCCATATGGGTTTCATTGTATAGAAGATTAATTTGGGGGGGGGATCATATCAATTTTCAAAATGTTTCACATCGCCTATTTTTTTCCTCGCACTGTACTGGAATGAAAAGGGGTGGAAAGAAAAAAAAAAATCAGGTAAATCGTGAAATATAATTTTTTTCTTCAATAAAATAATTTTTATTCTTGTTTTTAAATATATAATATCATTGCCTATTTTTTATTTTTTAAATGCAATTTTATATGATAAATTATAAGATCTAGAATATACAATATCACCGATAGTTATTTATTTTTTTTTTAATTCGAAAGGGCAAGACCTTCGCATAGTTAACAAATCACCCAAATCACAATTATTGTGCGTTTAGAAACAAACGCTATCAAAATTAATTAAACAAAAATTATATAATAATAAACTCCTGCTCAAAATTAACGCACCACCTTAATTTTTAAACAGAAATTCTTTTTAGAGAAATCCAGCTAAATCTCTTCATGTTTATTCTCTTTTTTATGCTTCACAATCCCACAAAAGTAAACAAGAATTGTTTACAATCGTGTTAATCCGCTTTGAAATGGATTTGGTAAGATACACAAGAGTTTCCTCCTGGTTTATTCCTCAGTTTCACTGCATCTGCTTAACAGACACCATTTCTTTTGGAAGTTTAAACTTTAATTTAGAACTTATGGCGCCCATAAGACATTTGAGTGAGCGTGAAGCCGTCAGAGCGATGACTCTTCTTGAGGAGGGCTACAGCCAGCGACAAGTTGCAAGAATAATTGGATGTCACCATACCACCATCGGAAGAACTCTCCAACGGTTCAATGAAACTGGCAGCAACACACGGAGGCCTGGACAAGGACGTCCAAGAGCAACGACCGAGAGGGATGACCGATTTTTGCGCTTACATGCCCTCAGAACGAGGCAGGTGACAAGTTCGGAAATGAGTAGCCTCCTTCAAAGCACCAGGAATGTCTCAATTTCGGCTCCCACTGTTCGAAGAAGGCTGAATGAGTTTGGCTTGAGCAGTAGACGGGTTGCTTCAGGGCCACTACTGACCAGAGACCACCGAGTAGCCAGGCTGCGATTTGCCCGGGATCACCTCAACTGGAGTTTTGATGCCTGGAAGAGAGTTTTATTTTCTGACGAAGTTAGAATCGCTCTTAATTCTCCAGATGGTCGTGCTCGGACATGGAGACGAAGTGGAGAAAGATTTGCTCAGTGCAATATTATTCCTCGCGTCGCCTTTGGTGGAGGCTCCATCATGTTCTGGGGAGGTATCAGCATGGAGGCCCGCACAGAGTTAGTCGTTGTTCCAGGACGGTCTCTAAATGCACCAAGGTATGTGGAAGAGATCCTCCAACCTCATGTAGTGCCTTTCGCTAGGAATATTGGACAAGGCTTTTTATTCATGCAAGATAACGCTAGACCTCACCGTGCGAGATCGGTGGAAGAATTTTTAAATGAACAGAATATTGAGCGGATTGAATGGCCAGCTCGTAGTCCTGACCTCAACCCTATTGAGCATATCTGGGATCAGCTAAAAAAAAGGATTAGGAGCCGAATACAACCTCCTAGCAACCTTTCGCAACTGCGCCAAGCGGCATTGGAAGAATGGGAGAATATTCCACAAGAAAGGGTAAAAAACCTCATCAACAGCATGAGAAGACGCCTGGATGCAGTAATCAAAGCCAGGGGAGGCAACACCAGATACTGAGTAATTAAATTTGTGTTTGAACTTAAATGAAAATTTTTGACCTTTTCAGTCTTTTTTATGGAATATTTTTTAATAAAGTTTACCGTCCTTTTCTGCTTTTCATTTTCATTTGTAATGTTTTATTATTAATAACCTACAATACTAAAAATAAAAATAACGTTCAAAAAACACCTGAGAAAAACATATGGTGAAATATTGAAGTGGTGCGTTAATTTTGAGCAGGAGTTTATAATAGTGATAATAACGATTAGGAATGTCGCACGCGAGGTGGATCAGGAACGACCCGTGTGCATTGGAAAAAAAGTGTGTGTATTGTCTGATACCTTTTGTTTGTTTTTTTGGAAGACAAATCGTTCAAATATTTCTTTCTTTTTTAAATTTTGACTTTTTTCTAATGTAAAAAACAATTTTTTTCTCCTCCCTCCTTTTTTTATTTAAAAATTATATTTTTTGTTGGCCAATTATTAGGAATATCCTGCCTTGCCGTGCGGTCACTCGAGGAGGGAGCACCTGAAAAAATCGTGCCAATTTGTTAAAAAAAATTTAATTAATTAATTAATTTAAAAAATGTAAGGATAGGAAAAATATTTCCTGATTTCTTTGTCGAGACGAGCAAATAGATTTTTACTCGGCCAGCCAGAGTCTATATAGTTTTTCCCTCTCTTTGATGAAAGTTTTTTTTTTGTCTCTATTGGCGAAAAGTAAAGAGCTTTACAGGCCTGGGTCGAGGTTCGTTTTGGTTGGGCAGAGAAATTTTTCATCCTAGTTGAATGTTGTTTTGGTCAGACTGACTTGGGATTTGGTCAAGCGTAGAATACTTTGTATTTGACCGAGTTCCGTGTCAGTTGAGAATATTACCTTTTTGGCCTGGTTAAGTTCTATTTTTTTGGTCAAGGGAAGAATATTTTGAAGCAATTTTTTTGGTCTGGTTGAGTTCTGTTTTGGTCAAGTAACTGATTTTGTGATCAGGCTGAGGACATTTTTGGCCAGCTGAGACTGGATTTGATCAAATGAACTATTAATTTGTGTTTTTTCCCCCCGTTTAAAAGGTGTTTTGGTCAGAATGAGAGGGTGTTTGGTCAAGGAAAGAGTATTTTGGGCCTCATTTAGTTCTGTTTTGGTCAAGTAGACTTGACTTAGCACTTTTTTGGTCTATCTGAGTGTTGTTATCAAGCAGGTCTGTATTGGTCAAATAGAAAACGTTTGTGATCCATTCTGGTCAAAATGAGACTGGATTTGGTCAAGAAAAGAACATTTTGTGTTTACTAGAGTTCTGTTTTGGCCAAGTAAATTTTTTCGGTCTAATTGAGCTCTGTGTTGGTCAAGTAGATAACTTTTCGATCTAGCTAAAGTGCTATTTTGTCAAATATATAGCTTTTTTTGGTTTAGATGAGTTCTCTTCTGACCAAGAAATGACTGGGTCTAGTGTAGATTGTTTTGACTGAAGTCAAACGAGGACCGATATTGTTACAAAAAAGGTAAATGGTAAAGATGTAATTTTCAATTTACGCTGGGAATGAGGTTTGCTAATCATTACGAGGGTTGGATCATGTTAAATAAAATATTCTTGAAGCCAGTATACTTTCTTTTTTTCTTTTTTTTTACTGCTCAATCGTACAACAGTCAATATTTACAAAGCCATGAAATATTAATGTTAAAATGTATGTGTGGGGTGTGGATGGGATATGAGGGGGGTCGTGATAAAAGGAAAATCCCTTACTGGTGCGTTTTCGTGATCCGCTTGGCGCCTCGGTTCTGGGGACCTTTTGGCTTGTCAAACTTGCGCCCGGTCGCCCCGAGCGTGACCTGCTCAGTCGGAGGTGGGTGCAAGGCATCTACGAGGCACTCCTCAGCGACCTCTTTCCCTGAATCGACTTCCATCTGGAAAGGGTGTTTTTCCGTAACAAAAGAAATTGTTAAAAATAGGCGTTGAAATATACCTTTTTATCGACCTTGGCACCAAGAATTGATTCTATCGTTTCGATCAATGGCGCCTTGGAGCTTGAATACAGCATTCTCTCTTTGATTGGGCAAGATGAGTATCCAGGCATCGAGTATATAAATACTAAATACAAATTATTATTATTTTTTTATACATATATTTTTTATATATTTATAAAAAAATTACCTATGGCTTTTTTATTTTCGCCCTTGTAAGCGTATTCGAACCTAAACAAATGGTAACGGGCAGTGTCCTCCGGCACTTGGCTCTCGAGCTGTTTTGGCGTGAGCGTCGTAGTCGCATCAGTGTCTATCCTCTCGTTCGGTATGTCTGAAATGAGGACAACAATCAAAACGCGACTTCCACTCCGCCAGCGTACGCACCGATGCAGAAACGGATGTAGTTGGCCTCTGAGGTGGCGAAAGTGGCGAGAGACTCTTTTGCTCTTTCCGTGATAGGCATCGTGAGTGAGTTGAGCGTGCTCGCCTTGCAGTCGACGCCAACGTGGATCCTCTCAGCTGTCTGGCAGAGGCGAGCCTCCTCCTCCTGTGGCGAGAGGGGTGGTGGCGCATCCTTTATCTTCTTAAGACCCGCTGAAGAAAGCTCATCCTAGTCCAACAAAAAATTAAAAAAAAAGAAAGAAAAAAAGAGAGTTCAATACATACAATTGAAGTGGCATGCAGTTCATCGGTTATCTGCCCGCTCCCGAACTCCTGTTTCAAAGTTGCCTTTGTCGATGCGTACAGCATCTTCTGCCTCACAGGTGAATCGTCCGGTGACCAGCTCAGTAGCAGCCAGTCATACCCACCATTCACGTTTTTCTTGTCAAACCTTAAAAATTATAAATAAATAATAATAGTAAAAAATAAAATGATTCAAGTTATATCTGAAAAAACAAAGGGCCAACCTGCACATAATATAAGACGGCTGGTCGACCTCTATAAGCTTTTTGATGTTCTTGTCGTAATCGTCTTCCCATGTTCCTTTCGCCTCGACCTGGCTATTCAGCGTAAGCTCCTCTATTTTTACAAAAACCACAAATAAAGTAAAAAAAGAAAATAAATAGTGCAAAACTGTCTCACCATTGTCTATGATGACTTTGAACAGTCTGATTTTCCCCGTGTGGCAGTGTTTGGCGAAGAACTTCTTCAGCTTTTCATTCGCTGAGGAAAAAAAAATTAGATGACAAAAAATTTAACCAGGCTGGCACAAGAGTAGGCACAAAGCGGATAATGTGTGAGTGTGCACAATTAATGGTAAGAATACTAAAGAGAGGAGTTAGAGTGCGAATCTGAGTATATAATAAATAAATAAAAAAAGAGTGGGTGTGTGAAAAAAATGGAGTAAGTGAATGAGAGAATATAAGGTTAGAGGGATTAAAGGTGGTGTGAATGAAAATATAGTTTTAAGTGTGAGCAAGCGAGAAAAGAGAGGAGTTAGTGCGTGAGTCATTAAGGTGAATATAAGTTATGAATGGGTGAGAAAGAGAGAATGAGTTAAGTGTGTGAGAATGAGTGATTATAAACAAGTGAGTGTGTGAGAAAGAGAGAAGGTGTGAATCATTAAAATGAGTATTATATGTGAGTGTGATTAAGGGAAGTGTGGGTATAAATAGAGTATAAGTGATAATGTGAAAAAGAAAAGAGAAGTGAGGGATCCATTAAAGAAGAAAGTGTGAATGTGGAAGAGTATAAAGGTATAAGTGGGGAGGAAGGAGAAACTGTTAGTAAATGAAATAGTGTAATAGATTAAGGTGATCATAATGTGAGTGTGATTAAATAAGTGTGTGTGTGAATGAATGAGTGATTATACAGGACTGAGTGTGTGAGAAAGAGCGAAGGTATGAGTCATTAGATGAGTATTATATGTGAGTGTGATCAAGGAAGAGTATAAGGTGTTAGTGTGAAAAAGAAAGAGAAGTGTGATCCATTAAAAAAGAAAGTGTGAGCGAGAAAGATTATAAGGTATAAGTGGAGAGGAATGAGAAACTGAGTAAATGAAATAGTGTAATAGATTAAGGTGAGTATAATGTGAGAGTGATTAAATAAGGGAGAGTGAGTGTGTGTGTGAGAGAATGAGTAATTATACAGGAGTAAATGGGTGTGAGAATGAGTGATTGTAACGTAGTGAGTGTGTGAGAAAGAGAGAAGGTGTGAGTCATTAAGATGAATATAATGTGTGAGTGTGAAAAAGAGAGAGAAGTGAGGGATGGAAGGAGAAAGTGTGAAAGAGTATAAAGGTGTAAGTGGGGGGGGGGACTGTGTAGGGGATAGTGTAATAGATTAAGATGAATATAACGTGAGTGTGATTAAATTGTATGTGAATGAGTGAGTCATTAAAGAGAATAATATGATAAAATGACATGTCAAGTTGGTAAGCCTGCTCATTCGATAATAAACTGACAGTCACTCGTTAAACAGATGTACTCACGGAATTTATGTTAAGGTAATTAATTAATTAACAATTAATAATTAAAATTTAAATAAAAATATTAATAACAAATTGAGTGGGAGGTGGTTTTCAATTTTAACTTTTTCATCCGGGTCAGGGATGCTGCGTGCATCACCGGTGATAATTTAACTACGGCCGTGTATCCTGTCAATAATTGACTTGAGTGGGGGATGCCAATAAACAAAAAAGGTAAAGGGTTTTGAATTGTACTTATAAAACATTTAACAAAAAAAACATAAAATAAAAAAAATAATAAAATAAAAACAGCATCCACAACATAAAATTCTTGATAGTGTGGGCTGAGGCTGGATCGTGTCCATGATTTTTTTTCCTCTCTTTTACGCCCACTAAGGTTTTTTCCCAGTCTGGACGAAAAATAAGGTTAATTAATTTTTGTAATTTTTTATTGTTTTAATATATTTTTAAATTTTTTGGGTATGATTTCATCTCGTCAATCCGGTCGGCCAGCCATTTTTGTTTTCCGCCCTGATAATCAACCGTTGTCCAATTAATTAAACGCGTGTCCCTCCCGTGGGAGAGAATTAATTAATTAATTTAAAATCTGTTGTTATAGAGGGAAGGATGGGAAAAACAGACCGGCTGGAGAAAAACAGCCCCCTGGTTTAAAAGCGAAACGTTTTTGATTTTTTTAGTTCATATTTATAAACTGCTCACCTCTTATCCCAGTCTGGTGAGACATTCCGCCAGTTCGTCAGCCTCCTCCTCGGTGCCAATTAAAAAACAAACAAACTTCGATTTATTTTTGAGAAAATAAAACTTAAAAAAACAAAACAAAACGGCCAAGGGTTCTGTATCGGCCGGACCGGTCTAAGGCAATTCACCTAAAATGACTGACGTGACCGCCGACCGGGGATAAACAGGTCGACTGAACAAGCCAGTGTTGCTCCCAGAAGCAACGACGCGAAATATCCTTTAAAAACTCAAAAATCTCCCTTAAAAAACTAATTGTTCAACAACAAATAAAACATTATTTTTATGTTATTTCATCATTGAAATAAACTAACATAATAAAAAAACTACGTTACTATTGAAATTACAGAGTTTTTTTCAACGCCCCCTATCTCAATTCTAGCCTCAATTTCAATATTCCTCCACCGGCCTTCTTACACTCACACTCACTCAATACACACCAAAATTAAAAACTGTTTCCTCCAAGAACAAAATATCTTTATAGGATCGTAAATGCTGCCCTGTTCAAGGTGGTATGTATACGCAACCTGTATAGTCACGATTCAATTAACATGGAACATCGACTTCTGATAAGTCATATATGTTATTGTCTTGTTTCATTAAGGCTAGTCGGAAAAGGTTGAAGGATATGAATCGATAAGACGAGTCAGAACAATGATATATTTTTTTAAATAGATTTTAATTATTAAAATGACATCAGATTTAGACAATAATCTATTTTCTATTATATACAGTGTTACAATTAGAAAAAAAGATAAGTTTTAAATTAAGAATATAAAATCGCCCAAAATCTAACACCATAAGAGGTTGGGGTGAAAAAAAGAACTAACAGGGTTGACAATCGCAAAAACGTACAATATACATATAATGTAAAGTTGAAAAGAAAAAATACAAAACGAAAAGGAGGAGATAACATTAAAAATAAATAAACATATTTACAGCGTACAATATACACGATATAACACAGTTTTTACATTATTATTTTTTTAAGTATTTTTTTTGTTAATTTTTTTATAAATTACACCCTGTATAAAAATGGTTACGATAAAAACCAAATATATAAGGCAATACGAATATCTAAGGCATAGTATTTGAAGCACCCTGTATAGAATTTATTAAATGGGAGGTTTTTCGTTTTTGCATGCATATGTACGTGTGTAAGTGGGCATAGCAAGTAACCAACCGCTGAGACTTGAAGACATGTTGTCGGCCAATTTTGCAACTTTTAGTTTCGGCCATCTCCGTAGTAGGTGGTATTTGGTTGCTTGCGTGACAGTGTGTGCGTGTTTGTGTTGTGGTTTTGAAAACAAACAAAACCAGTAACGACCACCTGAAAACTTGATGATACGACTCATGGTTTGGTACAATTTTTAGGTTATGCCACCTCTGTAATCAACTTTTAGTTGCGTGCTTGCGTGATTGTTACATGCGTGTTTGTGTTGTGGTTTTGAAAACAAACAAAACCAGTAACGTCCACCTGAAAACTTGAAGATACGACTCATGGTTTGTTACAATTTTTAGGTTATGCCATCTCAGTAATCAGCTTGTAGTTGCGTGCTTGCGTGACTATGAATGCGTGTTTAAGTGTATGCTTTTGAAAGCCAACAAACCAAGCAACAACCACCTGAAAACTTGAAGATACAACTCCACTGTTTGGTACAACTTTGAGGTTATGCCATCGCAGAAGTCAGCTCGTGTTTGTTTGCGTGACTGTGCGTGCGTGTTAGTGTGTGTGTTTTTGAAAACCAACATACTAAGTCACAACCATCTGAAACTTAGAGATACGTCTCACTAGTCTGGTACAACGTTTAGGCTATACCATTTCAGCGGTAGGTTATATTTGCGTGAATCTGTGAGTGCGGATGAGTGTGGGCAAACTATGTAACCAACCGTTGAAGATATATTGTCTCTCTATTGTACAACTTTAAGGTTATGCCATCTCAGTGGAAGGTTTGTGTGCTTGCGGTAGAGTGCGTGACCCATGCGACCGTTGAAAAGGAAAGGTTCGCGTCCGTTTTCGGCACGTCTAATAGGTGTCATACCACGACACCGTATACAGGGTGCTGCAACGTGGGTGGATCCAGCCAGCTTAAACTTACAAAAATACATACATATATAAATATTATTTATCTAAAAAAGGCACAAGCTGTTTTTAGTCCGTCAAATGATACGGTGCACATGCACTATAAGATGTACAGGGTGCTGCAAGAGCCTTCCCGAGAAACAGTCGAACATTGTTCGTCGTTTTTCTTTATGTATTTGTACGTGATTCCCCAGGCACCCAATCTTTGTCTATTGTCTATGAATTGTATTAGTTGTTAAAAATATGTTAAAAATTTTAAAAAGCTAGACAAATGTTGAAGGGGGGGGGGGTTGCCAAGTTGAAATCTTTATAATCGTTATAAAAATATCTTATTAGGAACTTTTTAAGTCAAATTTTCCATTTGTAAGTTTGAAACAAAAAGAAAAGGAAAATGTTAGAATAACCGAGAGAGTCTCATTCCGTCGCGTTCGGGTTGGTGTAGCTGAACCCCTGGAACTGGGTCTGATCCATGGATTCAAGTATCGTCTTGTCTACCGGGGTGAGGACCGGCTTCTCCGACGTGAACACCTTGTCGAAGTACTTCGTGTCCAGGGGATGTTTCTGGAACGGATACGGGCAAAGCAAAGCAAAATCAGATTATTACATATCATTACATACCACGCATTATTACATACCACGGTCGGTTTGAAAGGAGGGTCGAGCAACTTCCTCTCTAGGAGGGGCCACTTGAAACCGTCGAAGAACGCGTGGTTCATCACGTCCGCGGCGCCGTTCTCAGACGAGCCGAGACGCTTTGTCCAGTTCTTCTGCATCAGCTGTAGAGAGAAAAATCGTTGGGTAAACTTTCGCCATATGGCTCTTTGCAAAGCCACGGTATAGGGGTGAAGTAAAGCGAGAACATGCGGATCGATCAACCTACTGAACCTTATAAGGATGTAGAGTTCCGTGGCAAGGGGTTTAAACACAACATAATTGTACTTTGGCCTTGGAAAGAGCGAGGCCACGCAAACACAGTGCCTCTTTATCCAAGTTGGGCTTTAATTACAGGTCACACGTTCCACTGTTTTATAACTTGTCGTACAGAAGTAGTTATCAAGGTGTTAGTCAGCATAAAATGACTATAACTTAGGACAGAGAAGATTGAGGCTGATTCTTGTACTTAGTCCGAGTTGGACTAGGATCGTTGGGACAACTTTCTCCACGTGGTTCTTTTGTATGTCATTGTGTAAGGGTGAAATAAAGCGAGAAGGGAGGAAACTGGTGAACCTTGAAAGGATGTAAGGGCTATGTGAAAGGAATGTTGACACCAATTAATGGAATTTTGGTAAGAGCGAGATCAAGCGGACCGAGATGTATCTTGCCCAATAGGATTCAGGTTTATACTTACATCCGACAGTATCGATTTAGCCGGGGCCGATAGATAGCTAGGCATGTGCGGCCTCGTATTGCATATCGACCAGAACAGGTCGTCCTCGTCGCACCCCGAGAACGGGCTCTGACCAACTAGCATCTCGTACAGAAGAATTCCGAAGGACCACCAGTCGGCGCACTGATTGTACTTGAGACCTTTGATTACCTAAGAAACATGACAATCAGTGTTGGCTCAAAAAAAGAAAGAAAAAAAGTATATTTTGAGTTTACCTCCGGTGCCATATAGTCTGGAGTGCCGCAGAACGTGTCTGTCGTCTTGTCGAGGTAGATCTGGAGCTTGCACATGCCGAAATCTGCTATCCTGACGTGCCCGTCGAAATCAAGTAGGACGTTGTCTAATTTCAGGTCCCTTGACGAAAAGAGCAAAATGAATAGAGATTTTTTTTTTTGGCTTATAAGCTTACCTATATACGATCCCCCATTTGTGGAGGAAAGAAAGGCCTGAGACGATCTCGGCCGCGTAGAACCTCGCTCTGCCTTCGTCGAACCGTCCGCTCTGCTGGATGTGGAACATGAGGTCACCACCGTTCAGGTACTCCATGACGAAGAAAAGGTGTGACTGGAGAAAAATCGATTAAAATCATAATTTTACGCTCGACACAAGCGACAAACCTCGGTTTGGAATGTACAGAAAAGGTGCGAGAAGTACGGATGACCCGTCGCGAGGGCGAGCACCTTCCTCTCGATCAGTGTGCACTCGACGTCGTCGTCTTCCAGTACGACGTCCTTCTTGAGGCACTTTACGGCATAATAGCACTCGGAGCCTTTCAACTCGGCGAGAAGCACCTTGACAAAACAAGAAATACGATGTTCATATTGACTCCGGACATCTGTGGGTCTGCCTAGTCAAACTCTGGCCAATTATCTCGAGATTTTTTTTTCGACAAAAATGAAAACTAAGCTGGGAAAAGAAAGAAGAACCTTTAAAATGCTCGTAAGAAGGAGAGATGTTGAAATTTGTAAGGTGGTAGGATATTGAGTTGTTGATCCTCAAAGACCTTCAATTTACAAATTGATCCGTTTCTCATTGAGCGGATGTTTGGTTCCGTTCCAAAATAATCGGCCAGTTGGCACGACGCCTGGCTCAAATAGACCCGAGTTATTACAGGACTGTCTGATTTTGACGTTTACTCACTTTTCCAAAGCTACCTTTGCCCAGGACCTTCAAGAACTGGAAGTCGTTGATCGAGTAGGACCTGAACCTCGGGAGTGTCTTGGCAGGAGGCGAGACCCTCCCAGCTGCTGTCGATTCCGACGAGTCGCTGCACTCTGACGAATCTGAAACACGGGATGCCGGGTCAGAAGGATGAAAGTTCCCGGTTGACGGATCGCCACGTCGCGGACCTACTTGCGTTCTGTTCGCTCGTCGTCGACGCCCTCCCTTTCAGCTGTAGCCGGGACAAAGCCTCGGCCATCAGCTTCTGATTCACACCGCACAGGTTCGGCATGAGCAGCTGGCACTTCCGGTGGCAGTTGACGTCGCATTCTGGCCAAAATGTCACGGTGTTATGTCTGTGTGTGAGTGTGTGCATGTGTGTTCCACTGCGGGTCCGCACCGTTTCGCTTTTTTTAACCTTCCATAACGATAAAAAGTACGACAACAGGCCCAATAAGATCAATGGATTATGTTGATCATATATGGAAGGATAGTGAGAGTAGGATATAAATACAAACGGCCTTGATACTTCTATAAATAATTATTGATCCACGTCCAAAATATACTCAAATGGTCTGAAACCCCGGGCGAAAAGGTGGGACCCGACAAGTCGAAAACATTCGTTGTCCGATGACACAAGAAACCTGGCCAAGTTCAACTTGACCTCATGGGCAAAACGTGATAAAACACCTAACTACATGCCTCATGGCCAAACTTCCCACCGGAAACTTTATAGAATGTAGAATATAAAGAAGTGTTTACCTTCGTCTTCTGAAGATGAAGAATCTTCTTGGACCTGGGGCTTGTAGAATCCGCCTAGTGTCTTGATGGAACGTTTCCAAGCGGCTCTCCTGCCATCTTGAACCGGATGTGCCGTAGTTTCCTTCTTCTCTTCTTCTTTAACCTCCTCAGGTATTGCCGGGAATCCCAGGCTCGATTTCCTCCTGTCGAGCAACTCCACCCGGATCATCGAATCGAGATGTGCGGCTTCTTCGACGATTATTTCGTCTGTTATGGACGTCTTGCGTTCGACGAGACGGCAGAGGTCTTCGTCGACGAGGCTGAGACGTTTCTTCGATATCTGCCTCATCAGCTCGCCCGGTATCGAGACTTCCATCTCGCCTCCTTTGGGTGGTTTCGCCTCGAGGGGTGTCACCTTGACCTGAGTTCCGGTCTTCTTCACGATCACCTTCTTCTTCTTGACGACTGCCTCGGCCTCCATGTCGTACTCTTCTACCTCGACTTCTTCCCAGTCGTTGTTGTTGGCGTCCGAGTCGTACTTGCTCGGGTCCGTCAGGTCCTCGTGCGTGGTGCACTTGAAAAGTTTCGGCCTGAATCCTTCGTTGCCCAGGTGACCAAGAGGGTCTTTATCCGAAAGACTTCCAACTTCCTCTTTCTTCAGAGATAAACCAAATTCAGGTTTTTTCTTTGGTTTACTAACTAATCCGTTAAGTTCTTCCCCTTTCTTTGTATTGGACAAATCCGGTTTATCCTTACCTTCTTCTTTGCCCAATAATCCTTTAGATCCTTCTTTTATCTTGAGCTGATCGACCTTCGATTCTGCCGGTTTAGGTTTATTTTCAGGTTTATCAGGTAATACTTTGGTTTCGCCTTCTGTCTTAGGTAAATCAGGTTTAGTGACTCTATCTTCTTGTTTACCCAATAATCCTTTAGGTTCTACCTTTGTATTAGGTAAATACGATTTAGGTTTATCTAGTAATCCTTTAGGTTCGACCTCGATCTTAGATAAATTCAATTTAGGCTTATCTTCAGGTTTATCCGATAATCCGTTAAGTTCTACCTTTGTCTTCGGTAAAGCAGATTTAGGCTTATCTTCTTGTTTACCCGTTAATCCCTTGAGTTCTACCTTTGGCTTTGGTAAATCCTCTTTAGGTTTATCTTCTTGTGTGCCTGATAATCCTTTAGGTTTTAACTTTGCGTCAGATAAACCCGGTTTAGACTTATCTTCAGATTTATCCGGTAATCCTTTAGGTTCTTCCTTTGCCTTAAGTAAATCAGGTTTAGGCTTATCTTCTTGTTTACTCGATAATCCCTTGGGTTCTATCTTTGTCTTAAATAAATCAGATTTAGGCTTGTATTCTTGTTTATCCGTTAATCCCTTGAGTTCTACTTTTGGCTTTGCTAAATCCTCTTTAGGTTTATTTTCTTGTGTGCCTGATAATCCTTTGTGTTTTAACTTTGATTCAGATAAATCCGGTTTTGGCTTATCTTGTTGTTTACCCGATAATCCCTTGAGTACTATCTTTGGCTTTGGTAAATCAGGTTTAGACTTATCTTCAGATTTATCCGGTAATCCTTTAGGTTCTACCTTTGTCTTAGGTAAATCTGGGTTAGGATTGTCTTCTTGCTTACCCGATAATCCCTTGGGTTCTACCTTTGGCTTTGGTAAATCCGGTAATCCTTTAGGTTCTCCCTTTGTTTTAGGTAAATCAGGTTTAGGCTTATCTTCTTGCTTACCCGATAAACCCTTGTGTTCTACCTTTGGCTTTGGTAAATCAGATTTAGGCTTATCTTCAGATTTATCCGGTAATCCTTTAGGTTCTACCTTTGGCTTTGGTAAATCAGATTTAGGCTTATCTTCAGATTTATCCGGTAATCCTGTTCTACCTTTGGCTTTGGTAAATCAGATTTAGGCTTATCTTCAGATTTATCCGGTAATCCTTTAGGTTCTACCTTTGTCTTAGGTAAATCAGGTTTAGCCTTATCTCCTTGTTTCCACGATAATCCCTTGGGTTCTAACTTTGGCTGTGGTAAATCCGGTTTAGGAGTATTTTCTTGTTTGCCTCGTAATCCTTTAGGTTCTAATTTTATGTTAGGTAAATCTTGCTTGGGCCTATCTTCCTTTTTGCCAAATAATCCTTTTCCCTCTTCCTTTGTTTCCGTTAAATCCCGCTTAAGCTCATCTTCTTTTTTGCCAAATAATCCGTTTCTTTCTTCTTTTGTCTTAGGAAAATCAGGTTTAAGCTTATACTCAGGTCTGTCCGGCAGTTCTTTTGGTCTGACCTTTATCTTAGGTGAATCAGGCTTATCCTCAGGTTTATTTGATAATCCCTTGGGTATCTTGTACTCCTTTGTATTAAGTAAATCCGGAATAGGATTATCCTCCGGTTTACCGGTTAATCTATTGGTTTCACCCTTTGTCTTAGGTAAATCCGGTATAGGATTATCAACTGCTATATCCGTCAATCCTTTAGCTTCATCTTTTGTCTTAGATAAATCAGACTTCGGGCTATCTTCTTCTTTGCCTGGTAATCCTTTAGGTTTTACCTTTCTCTTAGGTAAATACGGTTTAAGCTTACCCTCAGGTTTTCCCGGTAATCCCTTGTGCTCAACCTTTGTCTCAGGTAAATGAGGTTTAGGCTTATCTTCTTGCTTACCCGATAATCCCTTGAGTTCTACCTTTTCCTTTGTTAAATCCGGTTGAGGCTTATCTTCAGATTTATCCGGTAATCCTTTAGGTTCTACCTTTGTCTTAGGTAAATCAGATTTAGGCTTATCTTCTTGCTTACTCGGCTTATCTGATGGTACCGTGGGTTCTATATTTGTCTTAGGTGAATCTTCGTTAGGATTATCTTCTGGCTTATCCGGTAATATTTTACATTCGTCTTTTTTCTTGGTCAAACAAGTCCTAAGCTTTATGTCAACTTCTTCGATTTCTTTCGATTCTGAGTCAGGTTTCTTATGAGGTTCTTCGACTTCTTTGGTTCCGGACGGCTCTTCCCATGTTGAACTTTTTTGCCTGTCACTGTCTTTCTCGATTTGTTTTGTTTCGTCCTGTCCGAGGTCTGCCTTGTCGTCGTCCTCGTCGGTCGCGGGCGGTGTGGCTCCGTCACGTTCCGCTCCGTCCTCACTTCCACGGCACTCGCGGTTCGCAACGCAGCCTCGGACGACGACTGAGTCCTCCTCATCCCCGCCCGTATCCCGGCTCGTATTTATAAACCTGGCCGGCCGCCCGTTCCCGGTCCCGGTCCCACCTCCGCGAATAAAATCCTCCTTCTTGTCACGTATGGTGAACTTCTCGACGAGGTGGGCCCCAGGCGACTTTCCCAGGCCGAGGGCCCTCACCCTCGCCGATGCGACGTCCGACGTCGAGTACTGGCCACGGTACCGGTACATCACCGGAGGAGGGTGGAAGAGAGAATAGTACGGCTGGTACAGCATGGTGGTACGCGCTGCACTGCAAGACGCGACGCGAGACAATGCCGTCCCACTACTCCCTTCCACCGCGTATCATGTGGAAGGTGGGGCACCTGGGCACAATACGAGAAAATCCAACCTTCTCCCCCTTATAGACAAAGAAAGGAGGCACGGACCAAAATAAAAGGGGGATACGGCCAATAAAAACACGACCCCGATGCAAAACGGACCTTGTTCATGAAAGAAACCGGGAAAAGGCCTAACCGCTTCATTAAAACCGGCCACTGTAGACAGAAGACGTGAATTTAACCCTGGCACCAAGCCCGGGCATCGAGAACTACCGTCACCCCCTGCATCTCAAATTCCACCCCACAGAACCCCTCCCTCCCTCCCAAATTCCATTAAAAAACATCCATTTTAATAAATATCCCCCAAAAAAATCTAATAAAATTTCTTCTACGTTTATATTTCATCCTACCAAAACAAAAATTGGCAAACGTCCCAAATCGTAGGTATTCCCGTAACTCCTAGGAAACGTCAAAAACCACCCAATTAAGGGGGGAAAACCAGGTTTCGTGTGTCAGCAACAACAAACAAACAAACAAAACACCAAACACACAATTGTCAGTATAAGGACACGATAGTTGAACCCGATGGGTCGAGAAATTGCCGGGACCTTTTTGATTTAATTTACCTCTCTGAACCTTTCAACCGTGACAAAATGTTTCGCATATTTTGGCACTACTCCCTTACCCCAATGTATAATCGGACACGGCTGGAATTCAGACGAAGGGGTTCAAGGAGCGTACGGAGGTTCATTGGATTTAACGCTTTATTTAATCGCTCAGGTTTCTTACATCCGCAGAGAGGAGAGAGGGAGGGAGGGGGAGAGAGAGAGAGAGAGAGAGAGAGAGAGAGAGAGAGAGAGAGAGAGAGAGAGAGTGAGTGTGTGTATAAGATCTTTTCCCCATTATTTAGTACATTATTTAATTGCTAAAAAAAATATAGTTCACCAATATGGTGTCTTAATGGAGGAGTGATTGAACTATTAAGGGATGACAAGGACTATCCATTTTTTAATAGACCATGAAAATAAATAGGAAATGATGTTCTCCCTCTCCATTTTTGTTATTATATCTCCCTCTTTTTCTCGTTTTTCTTTCGTACCCGTCGATAAAGACCCCTTAATAAAATCTCTCCCCTATTTTGACGTCATAATTGAGGGAGTGATTTGAAAGAAAAAAAGTGAAATAGAACAGAGGGTGAGATTTTATATATTGAAATATGAAACTGAAATTGACACAGTTCACAGATATGACGTCATAGTTGAGGATATAAAGGCAGTACGTGCCATGTACCTTGGCTCTATCTAGTCATCATTCCCCAATTATAACTCATATTGGTGAACTGTTATTCAAAAATATTTAAGGTCGAATCTGAAGTTTTAAATAATTAACAGTAATTTTACAAAAATTGTTGCTAGCTAAGTTTTTTAAATGGATTATTTGGTGAGATGCGGTCCAGTGTGAAGTAGGATTAGAAAAACATTTTCTTTATTGTGCCAACGTTTCGCTCTTTATTTAGATCATCTTCAGAGCTCAAAGTGTGTGTTTTTTGTGTAGATGTGTCCCGGTTGTGTGCCGTGTTGAGAGGTTCTTTATTTTAACATTTTTTAAAAATTTATTTATTTATTTTTTTGGGGGTGCGTCGATGAAGTTTCATCACGTAATCACCACCCGTATGCTACGTCATTTTGAGAACCTTTCATTTTATGACCCATCATGTTCAACTATTGGAATGATTTGATATCTTAAATTTTTTAAAGTACGAAACAATTTTAGACGCCATATTCCGGGCCTTATTGTACTAAGAAACTTTCTCCCACACACACACCCGCACGCACGCACGCGCGCGCGCGCGCACACACACACACACACACACACACACACACACACACACATTTTTTCCCCTACTACTTTTTTCTTAGTTCTTATGTCTTATGTCCTTCAATCCACCTCTCCTTAATTATTTATGATTGGCTATAGTCTGTTTACAAAAAAAAAATTTCATGTGAGTCGTTGTTTGTGGGTCTTACAGAGTTTATTTTACAGAGTTCTAAATGTTTGTTATTTATTTTTGTCCACAGTCTTTTTGTAAAGTCCAAATTCCAGGTTTATTAGTTCAACCCCTCCCCAATTATGATGTCATATTGGTGAACCGTACATTCTAATCTAGATGTATATTTCTCTCGGAGGATTTCTCGACTGAAGTGAGCACCGGCGGACCCACCGGCCTGACTACAACCCACGGGTCAAACTCTCGTGTCCTCAAGACGCGTGTAAGTCCCGTTTTACCTTCGCACTTCAGACCTTGCCTGAAAAGGCCGTACAGTAGGCTGCCGCAGTGGTCGCAGAAAGTCGGCGAGACGAACGAATGTACGACGAACCTGTGTGGAACGTCCAGCTTGAACCTCTCCCTCAGGTACTTAAGAACAAATATGAAAAATATACATTAAAAAAGTAAAGACAAATAAACTTAGACAATGGACAACTCACGATCGTGCTCTCCGAATTCCTGCCCGATCCTGGGCACTTGGTGAGAAGTTTCTCGTGGCATCGCTTGTGAACAGCAGTCTGGCAAACTGTACAAAAAAAAAAAAAAAAAAAATGCGGAAGAAATAGTAAGAAAGCCTAAGAAGACAGAAAAGTGTGGCCCATCCTTAGCCTACAGACTTTTTTCTTCTTTCTCAATCTAACAAAGGTTATTTTGTAAGCAATGAGAAAGAACGAAACATTGCTATAGTTGTAGCATGGCTCATCCTCAGCTTTGGTAATTTATTGATAGACTTTTAGACTGCATAAGCCTGAATATGTGGTGGTAACAAGACAGGCCACTAAGACAACCTTGATCTTTTTTAAGCATCTTAATCTGAGGATAAGCCATACAAAAAGACCAATAAAGTAGCAATGGACACTCACTTTGACATTGATATCCTTGTTTGCCAAAACCCCTGAAACAAAGAAGGAAAATTTAAAAAAATATATATACAAATATAATATATATATTTTTTTAAATTTTAAGCAGTAGTACCACATAAACTCCTTGCAGAACGTGCAGAAGGTCGGCTGCCTGAAGAACTTGGCTAGGAACTTGTGCCCTTCGACTTCGTGAACCCTTTGGTGCTTGACGGCGCCACGCCTACGCCCGATACCGTAAGTTCGAGCCTCTTCTGGGAAAAAAATTGTACAGATTTATTCTCGGTTTATATGAACCACCCTGTATACCTTCTTGGTATCTATCCTTGAAACTACTCGCCCTCGGCCGGTACGTCTGAAAAAAAGAAGAAAAATTAAAAAATAATATTAATATATAAAATAAAATAAAAATCTTTCTCGAACATAAAAAATGTTGGGTTCACCAATATGACGTCATAATTGGGGAGTGATTGAACTATTTACGTCACACATCGATTTTTTCTTTCACGAAGAATGAATGAGAGTGTGTTTTTGTGTGTGTGAGAGAGAGAGAGAGAGGAGAGAGAGAGAGAAAAGTAGTGAGTAGTACATTTCACTACTATGACGTCATTGAATCAAAAAACTTTATCAAGACATAGAAAAATATATAGCCTCTTTTCCTCACTCATTCGTGAAAGATAAAGTCAACGTGTGTCGTTTAACAGTTCAATCACTCCCCAATTATGACGTCATATTGGTGATCCGCGATACATTTAACAGTAATATTATTCGTACAATCCTTTGTTTTTTTAGTCTTGGAAATAGGAAAGGCGCAATTTTGTTAAATAAGCTGTCTGTATTTGCAGTACGAGCTTCGAGTTTGTACAAACGTATATCGCTCTGTAAACAGACACTGTATATATGAACTAAAGGAGGGTGTAAACAAACAAATTGTTGATTGTGCCTCAAGAAGAAAAACGGAAATGTTTCGAACTGGGTTAATAGATGGGTAATATTTTTTTGGTTGGTTGGGGATTGGGAACGCTAGGAATTCGGATAAGGTCGCATTTCTTCAATAGAGGGGGTGATGGTTACTATTTGTAAACAAAAACAAAAGGATCTCATTGACCTTAATCCTTACTTGGGTGGGGTGAGGTTGTTGGGTTTTGTAGGTCTTTTCTCCCCCACCATTAAGGTTTCTGTTGAATTGTTATGTTGTTTTTTGTGTTGTTTTATTCTTGTGTGAAAGATTTGAAGTGGTGTTAGTTTGTTGTGAGGTGTTTTAGGTTTTCGTGCCTTGTCGGCCCGGAAGGGCGTTGGTGTCGTGCCCTACTATGGTACCTCATGACTGGAGAGAGATGCGGTCCGCACGGTCGAGCTGCGCTTCTTGCCGTAGGAGCCGGTGAACATCATCTCGGGGCAGCATCACCGTCGCCCTCTCGAACTGTGCCACCCTTTCACCCGTTGTTCCCGTGTCAATCCTTGCCGTGTGTCCCGCGAAACGGGGCTGCACCTGGTTCCGCTTTTCCACAGCTGGCCCGACGAGGAATGCCAGGGGGGAGGCGGCTCTAAATTTAGACGAGGCGTACGACGCGACGCCGGACGATCCGAAGGGGACCCAGGAGGACGCCCTTTTTTGAAATAAGACCCCCCCGATCACGGGAAAAGGTCTTTTTTCGCGGTGGACAACTTTTGGATAAAAAAAGAAGAAAGAAATTCGCCTATCTGGACGCGAGATGGTGGGGAGGTAGGCACGCGGATCATCGGGGGCGAGGTCAGAAGATAAAAATACACGAAGAGGGCCCAGCTGCGATTAGTCGGGCTGCTTTTTTTTCTCCAGATTGAAAAAGAAGAAAAACTAACAGCTAGCCACAAAAACCAAATCATCATTCGGTTCACAGTCGAAGGCCGAACATCATCATAAATAAGTTTTCAATCCAATTTTCATTACAGAGATTAAAAAAATAATAAAAACAAACACAGCTTACCCAAAACCACAGTAAAACCGGAACAACCAAAATGAAACTCTTAGGTGATAAGAAAGAAAAATATTTTGCCGATGGTCAACAATTCTTCCTTTTGATCAACTTAAGGACAAGACACAAGTCGCAATACCGGACCAAAAATCCGATCCAAAAGTTCAAAGAACCAAATTCCACCGACCTTCAAAGTTGGAACGTTGAGGTCTTAAGAAACCATGATGTTTGACGATTCTCAAGTGTTGTTCTTATTTATTAACTTGATGCCAAGAAACGAGTGCCGATATCTGACCAAAAGTGCGATCCAAAAGACCAAAAACCCAAACATCCCATACTCAAATAGCGCGCAAAACCGGTTTTTATAATTATTTTGATTTATAGTTTTTCCTTTCTGAACTTTATAAACTGTATATCTGTCCAAAATCCAAATCGAAGACCAAAATTCCAAAATGAAATTTTGTCCAAAAGGATGAATTCCAACGGCTTACAAAATGAAACGTTGAGGTCTTAAGAAACCAAGATGCTCAAGTGCTGTTCTTATTTTTTAATTTTGTAACAAACGAGCCGCGATATCCGACCAATTATCTGATCCCAAAATCCAAAACGTCCCGCCAAACACGCTATATCTCAGGCGGGGGTCAATATCAACAGAATTTTATAATTACTCTGGTTTAGGGGTTTAAGTAACTGTCCAAAAGATTTAGGGAAAATGACAAATTCTATCAACTTACCAAATGGATTATTGAGGTCTTAAGAAACAAAAATATTTGACCGATTGTTAACAATTGTTCTTATTTATCAACTTAAGGAGAACACACAAGTCGCGATATCCGACCAAAAGTCCGATCGAAACTACCAAAAATCCACAACATCCTTCCAACTAAGCCAAATATTTCAGACCATGCTTAAATCAAACAGATTCTTACAATTATTCTGGTTTAACAAGATTATTGGCTGTCCAAAATCCAGACATCATGTAGTCCAAACACCCAGATTCCATCAACCTACAAAGATTGAGATCTTAAGAAACAAAAATATTTGGCTGATTGTTAATAAACGTTTTTCTTTATTAACTTCAGATCACCATAGAATTCGCTCTGTTCGGCCAAAAATCGACCCAAATGACCGAAACTACTATATGACCTGCCAAACACGCCTAATATGTCAGAACAGTTTCAAATAAAACCGGATTTTTTAAATAAATAATCATTTGTGTTTTATGAAATGTCTCGACTGTTATAACATCACGTCTGTCCAAAATTCAGACCAAAAACAACAAAAAAACTTTAGGTAAAAAAAAATCCATGATGTTTGACCAAAAATTTACTTTTTCTCTTCAGATCGTTTTATCCGTCCCATCCTAAAGACGCATATGTGCCAAACTACACGCATGCAAAATAAAACAGGTTTTTTTTATAATCATTCTTGTTTTATTAAATGTCTCGACTGTAATAACATGACAACTCCCCAAAATCCAGACTAAAAACCGTATTGAAAAAAAAAAAAAAAAAAAAAAAATCCACTATGCCTGAACAAAAAACACTTCTTCTCTTCAGATCGTTTTATCCGTCCCATCCTAAAGACACATATGTGCCAAACAGACACGCATGTAAACAGTCATGCATTTGAATCGAATAAAAACAACCGTTGGTTGTCATGTCTAGATCAAATTTAGGGAGGGCCTCCTCACTTCAAATTTCGTTTCGCGGGCCTTTTTTTTTTCGTTTTACTTTGATATGAGAGATGTAAATTTTTCAAATCTGTTTAATTTGAATAGGTTTTGTTTAAATTTATGCGTTATGCGCACTTTTTGCTTAAGAAGCTTTTTATTATTTTTGATTTGTAAAGATGTGAATAGTGAGGTAGAGAGATTACGTTTTTTTATATATTATCCTGTTTTTATTTATGTTTTATTTAATAAAAACAGTTTTTTTGTTTATTTTGTTGTTTTTGTTTTCAAAGGTCGAGTCGGTTGTTTTTGTCCCTTTGACTCCGACTTGGGGCAACACTGGCCTGACGACGACTCCGAGAAACAAAACACTTTAACCCCGGGACCCCCAGCGGTTTTATTGACACGAGGCGAGACCGGGCGTACCGTTTTTCGTCTTTATTTTCCACTAATTGGGACTTTTCCTTTTTCTCCTTTTTTTTCCACCCTTAAACCTGTACCGGAAAAAAGCCGAAGGATGTACCAGGAGCAGGGCGGATGGGGAGACAAAGCGGCCGAACAGGACATCGCCAAGAACGTGAGTATACTTTGCCCTCTTATAGGCCCGAAAACGACTTAAAACTTCGTAACCATAACACGCGATCATCCTGAGACTTTTCACTTCAAACTCGACTTCGATCTTGTCAAGATTGATCATTATTCATGATGATCATTTTCCAACTTTAACCCCATAGTTTTACTCAATAAATACCTCTTCTTTAAAACAAAAAATACATAAAACGAATTTTATTACGTGATTATGCAGTAAACATTAAAAATAAGTCTGCCAACGAGACGTCTTGTCTGAATTCGGATTAAAAACAATTTTTAATAAAAAATTAATTCAAGGAATAATGATCTAATGATCAATTTTTAAAAAATAATAAGTTTTGATAATCATAGACTCAGTAGGGGAAAAACATGCTATCATGTTTCCATATTTGTACGGTTTGGCCCAGGTCTAAATTGAAAATATCAGGTTTGCCAGCATTGCTTTTAGACAGATCATTCAAGGAATTATGATCTAATGACCTTTTGATTTAATAATAAGACTTGTTAATCATAGGCTCAGTATGTAAAAAAAATGATCCCATGGTTGAAATTGTTTGCAGTTTGGTTCGGATCTAAATTGAAAATGTCAGGTTCATCAACATTGCGTCTAGATAGATTATGGAACTAAAGAGATCACTTCAAGGAATCATGATCTAATAATCAATTGTTTTAATAATAAGGTTTGTTAATCATACACTCAGTAGGGGAAAAACACGCTTTAATGATTCAATTTTTGTACAATTTGGTTCGGATCTAAATTGAAAATATCAGGTTTGCCAACTTATTTTATTTATAAAGTGAAGTCTGATATTGAAACAAAGATGGTCATTAGTTTAGATTGGTTTTTGGACGGTTTATCAATGATTTAATTTGAAAGTCTAGTGTGCCATCTTTTTGAAATATCTTGAATAGTTCCATCCCCAATCAAAAGTTCATGATCAGGTTTGTTTGATTTAGACAACCAGGTGTGCCAACTTGGTTTAGTTTTGATTAGATTGCTAAGTCAATCTTGTAAACAGTTTTTAATCAAATGTTCATGATCAGGTTTGTTCGATTTAGACTGAACCAGGTGTGCTAACTTGGTATAGCTTTGATTATAATGTTAAGTTAATTTCTTGAATAGTTTTTTTTTCCAATTAAAAGTGCATGGTCAGGTTTGTTCGATTTAGACAACAGGTGTGCCAACTTGGTATAGCTTTGATTAAAATGTTAAGTCAATTTCTTGAACAGTTTTTTAATCAAAAGTTCATGATCAGGTTTGTACGATTTAGACTGAATCAGGTGGGCTAACTTGGTATAGCTTTGATTAGAATGTTAAGTCAATTTCTTGAACAGCTTTTTAATCAAAAGTTCATGATCAGGTTTGTTCGATTTAGACTGAATCACATGTGCCAACTTGGTACAGTTTTGATTAGAATGTTAAGTCAATCTCTTAAACATTTTTTTTAGGTCAAAAGTTTGTGATCAGGTTTGTTCATTTTAGACTGAATCACTTGAGATTTTTTAGAAATCATGTCATGTTCTTACTATCAATTTAACTTGTCTTTTTCAGCGTTTTTAATTTTGTTTTTCCAGTTTGTTGGTTTGACACTGAAGGAGGGGAACAACACGATACTTGCATCGAACAAGCCACTCACAACGACTGATGGTGGAGAAGATGAAGACAAGATAACGAAAGCAGAGAAGAGCCTCCTTCAGAAGATAACGAGGACAAAGCTCGTGACTTCGAAGGCTGAGATTGAGATTCAACGCCAGGACCCATTCTCGCCGCTCCACTCAATCAAGTCGTTCGAGGCGCTCAACTTGTAAGTCAATATCTAACAAAAAAAAAAAAAAAAAAATGTTGGTTTTGATTTCTTTCTGCAGACAACCAAATCTCCTGAAAGGTGTCTATGAAATGGGCTTCAACACGCCTTCAAAGATTCAGGAGACGGCGCTACCCATATTACTTGCTGACCCGTAAGTCTTGAAATGTTTAAGACCTATGTGCGATTTTTATTTTTGCTTATTTTTTGGTCAGGCCTCAGAATATGATTGCGCAGTCGCAATCCGGTACGGGGAAAACGGCGGCGTTTGTCCTTGCCATGCTGTCACGAGTTGTTGTTGAGAACAAGTACCCTCAGGTTCTGTGTCTGTCACCAACTTACGAACTTGCGATACAGACGGGCGAGGTTGCAGCTAAAATGGGGCAGTTCTGTGATGATGTACGGATACGTTATGCCGTACGAGGAGAAGACTGTAAGAAATTTTGTTTAAAATAAACAAAGAAAAAACAAAATAAACTGCTTAGATTGAGTTTTTCTGTTTTCTGCAGTGCCAAAGCATACGAAGATAGACGAGCACATCATAATTGGTACACCGGGCAAGGTGTTGGACTGGGCAACCAAGTATAAGTTCTTTGACCTGAGCAAAATCACTGTCTTTGTACTGGATGAGGCGGACGTCATGATCGCGACTCAGGGCCACCAAGACCAAAGCTTCAGGATCAGAAAGTACCTGTCTGAGAAGTGCCAGATCATGTTCTTCTCGGCGACATACGACGAGGAAGTGATGCAATTTGCCAAGGGCATTGTACCGAACCCACTCCTCATCAGGTTGAAACGTGAGGAAGAGTCTTTAGAGAACATCAAGCAGTACTACACAGTGTGCGAGCACAAGGATGAGAAATACCAGGCGATTGCTAACATATACGGTGGAATAACCGTCGGACAGATGATGATATTCTGCCAGGTTTGGACACACAGATGACTGTGTTTTTCAGTTTTTAAAATTTGTTATGATTTTCAGACGAGGAAGATGGCGTCATGGCTGACAGAGAAGCTCTCAAGGGATGGACATGCTGTAGCGCTACTCTCGGGCGAGCTCACTGTTGAACAGCGTATCGCTGTACTCGACAGGTTCAGAGACGGCAAGGAGAAGGTGCTCATAACGACCAATGTACTGTCTCGAGGGATTGACATCGAACAGGTCACTGTAGTCGTCAACTTTGACATGCCTGTCGACCAGCAGCGCCGCGCCGACTGCGAGACGTACCTGCACAGGATCGGAAGGACTGGGCGTTTTGGCAAGACAGGCATAGCAATCAACCTCGTATCTTCACAGGAATACAGCACCGTGCTGAAACAGATTCAGGACCATTTCGGTAAGCCATTGTAAAATAAATATAACAGAAGTTGGTAATTTTTTAAAAATATTTTTATTTTTTGTAGGACGTAAGATCGAATGTCTCAACCCGGACGACTCGGATGAAGTTGACAAGCTCAATGACTAACGTACCTGTACATCAGCGTACATATTTCATATAATCATTTTTTTTTTAAATTAATTTATGCAGTAAGGATGACTGTGATTTTAAAATATACATTCATCTCGCACCGATTATTTGGGGAGATTGTAAAATATAATTATGATTAAAAATATTTTCATGTTTGTAATTTATGTTATTTTCAATCCGGTGGGGGATGCAGTACAAGGTGGATGACCCTTGCTGTTTTTTTTGCTTGTAGTTTACGAAAAAAATATTGTAGATTCATATAAACACAAAGGAGAAAAAAGAGGGCTTGTGAGAAAGTACGAGAGCAAAATGTACACAGATAACAAGAAAAATCATACACCAGGTCTGCACCTTATGATCTCCAGATACAAATCGTAGAAGTGAACATTGATGGATGAAAACTTGCAGAGAAATAAGAAAGGCTGTTGCAAAATGGACAAGAAAAGGGTCACCTACAGATGTTGAAACAATTGAACAACAATCAAATGAAGAAACGACAAGCCCAACTTCAACTGCAGTCTACAGCATACCACCATCAATCGGAACAATTTCTCCTGGTGTGGAAGAGGTGACATCTTCTAAGAAACATGACAAAAAGATTTCGATGAGAATTAAGATTGCTCAAGATTGCTCCAAACGGCTCAAAATCAGCTGTATCCGTCAAAATATCAACCCAGCACAGATGCACAATGCCGAGATAGCTTTCTTCTGATTCAGGCTAAAAATGTGATACAGATTTTGATAAGCGAAATGACAACCCAGTACCCATCTTTTATTGTCTGTTTCATTACATTATCCTACTCTTCCAAGCATATTGAAAACCAGAAGAATTGACATACGCAAGTATAACTTGGGACACAAAGGTTTGGTTAAAATGATCGGGCAACAGATTAAACCACAAAATAAATCATTCGACATCTTGGATAATACATATTTTAAAATTTTATTTACTTGTCTAAATATAAAATATAAATTTTGGCAGCTAACAAACGCTTTTTTTTTTTTTTTACTAGCTTTATATGACAAATTCGTATAAACCTAAGGGAAAACAGGAAGAGAAGAGATTGAGTATAGTGGCAAACAGTACACAGATAATAAGAAACAATTTACAAGTAAACCTCGATGGATTTAAACTTAGAAATTTTTTGACTCGTAGGTCGATGTAGATCATTAATCAACAATTGAAGAAATAAATAAAAACAGTGAAACGATAATAAAAAATTAATAGAGATAACATGCTTTAACTGTACTTCTGATGCTTCTTTCTTCTTTATTATAACTGTATTTGCTGATATATGACGGTAGATTGATTGAAGTGTAAGAGAGAAAGAAAAAAAAAAACATTGAGGCAAGGTAAAAACACAAAATGTACCCAGATAATAAGAAAAACCATACAAGTAAACATTGGTGGATGTAAACTTGCAAAGTGCCATTTGATTCATTGGCTGATGCACATCGACAACTGATGAAAGAATTAAACACAGTGAAAAGGTGGTAAAAAATTAATAGAGATAACACACAACTATTTTTCTATGGCTTTTTTTAATGTATTTGCTTTTATACGGTGGTCGTTAATAGAAATATAAGGGGTACTTTGCATATATTTCTTACATTGTATTTTTTACAATTAATACCTCTTAAAGTAATAATTAAAATTTTAGTGTTTTCTAAATTAACCTTTTTTATTGTTTTAATTTTAATTTGATATTTTAGAGAAAGTAAAAAAAATTGATAATTCTTCATAACAAATATTTTTTTATTAAACATCAAAAACAATATTTTAGCTTTCAAATTTTTTTTTCGAATTTAAACAAAATTTAAAAAAATTAAATAAATAAATAAAATTTAAACTCGTGCTTTATTTTTATGTTAAAATTTAACATAATTCGACTTAGGTAATCGGGAAAAATCCTGTTTGTATTGCTGATTAGAAATGTAATAATTGAACATCCAATTTTTTTTCTTTTATTAAAAAAAAAAATTAATACATAATCTTTTCTTTTTTGTTACAATTATGAAAAACAATTAAATTCTGAAACGTCCCATTCAGGTTGTTTTTATTTTTTCAAAAATATTACATAAAATTTACCATTTATCACATGAACCTATTACAAATTTTGTTTCCAATATTCTATTGATAATTTTTTGTTAAATTTTATATTTGTGTACGCCAGTTGAACTCTGGTCCGGGAGGCCGGTGTTCGTCCCGACTTGCTTAGACCTGAGTTAGTCTTAGTATCGCAGTCGGACAGTAAATGTTTTAATTCTTTACTCAGTCAGTTGGCCTAAAACATCACTTTTGGAACAACTCTTTCTAAAGGATGTTACACATGAATTTGCTCTAGTGCGATGAAGATGGATAGAAATATAAAGAAGAAAAAAAAAACAGAAGAGAATTTGGTCAAAGTAAAAGAGAGTATAAAGTACGCAGATAACAAGAAACAACTAAAGTTTATTTTAAAGAAAATCCTGTTTTATTTGAAACTGGTGTGAGATAAAACGGAAAAAACGGCCCGCGAAGCGAAATTTGAATTGTGTAAGTCCTTCCTAAATTTGGATCTAGGAACAACGTGACAACTAACGTTTTTTATTATTCGATTGAAGTGCGTGCATGCGTGTCTGGAACATCTTTAGGATGGGACGGATAAAACGATCTGAAGAGCAAAAGTGAATTTTTAGTCAAGCATCGTGGATTTGTTTTAACCTAGAGTTTTTTATGTGGTTTTTGAACAGATGTGATGTTCATAAAAGATGAATGATTATAAAAAAAACCTGTTTTATTTTGCATGCGTGTATGTTTGGCACATATGTGTCTTTAGGATGGCACGGATAAAACGATCTGAAGAGAAAAAGTGACTTTTTGGTCAAGCATCGTGGGTTTTTTAAACTAAAGTTTTTTTATGTGGTTTTTGAACAGATGTGATGTTCATAAAACATGAATGATTATAAAAAAAACCTGTTTTATTTTGCATGCGTGTGTTGGCACATATGCGTCTTTAGGATGGGACGGATAAAACGATCTGAAGAGAAAAAGTGAGTTTTTGGTCAAGCATCATGGGTTTTTTTAAACTAAAGTTTTTTTAATGTGGTTTTTGATCTGGATTTTGGACAGATGTGTTGTACCAGTCGAGACATTTCATAAATCACGAATAATTAAAAAAAAAATCCTGTTTTATTTGAAACTGGTCTGAGATATTAGGCGTGTTTGGCAGGTCGTATTGTAGTGGTCTTTTGGGTCGAATTTTGGTCGAACATAGCGAATTCTATGGTGTCCTGTGTTAACAAAGAAAAACGTTTATTGACAACCGGTAAAATATTTTTGTTTCTTAAGACCCCAATATTTGTAGGTTGATGGAATCTTGGTGTTTGTACTACATGAAGTTTTGGTCTGGATTTTGGACAGCCAATTTTCTTATTAAACCAGAATAATTGTAAGAACCTGTTTGATTTGAGTGGGTTCTGAAATAATGGGAGTGTATAACGTTATGGATTTTTGGTAGTTTCGATCGGATTTTTGGTCGGATATCGCGACTTGTCTGTTGTCCTTTAACAATCGGTCAAATATTTTGTTTCAGTAAGTTGATAGAATTTTTCATTTTCCCTAAATCTTTTGGTCAGAATTATGGACATTAAACGCCTAAACCAGAGTAATTATAAATATTTGTTTGACATTGACCCCCGCTTGAGATATTAAGCGTGTTTGGCGTGACGTTTTGGATCGGATTTTGGGTCGGATATGGCGGCTCGTTTGTTGCCATCAAATTAATAAATAAGAACAACACTTGAGAATTGGTCAAACATTTTGGTTTCTTAAGAACTCAACGTTTTGGATTTTGGATAGATGTGATGTTATTACAGTCGAGACATTTCATAAAATTTGAATAGTTATTAAAAAAACCCAGGTTTATTGTGCATACGTGTAAGTTTGGCATATATGTGGTTTAGGACGGGTCGGAAAAAACGATCTGAATAGAAGATGTAGTTTTTTATGTGGTTGAAAAAGCAAAATGTACACAGACAATAAGGATCAACTTACAAGTGAACCTCGATGGATTTAAACTTTGTAAGTGCCATTTGACGCGTTGGCCTGTCCAGATAATTAATCGAAAACCAATGAAAGAAATAAAAACTGAAAATTAATAAATATAATACAGCTTAACTGTACTTCTGGGTCTTTTTCTTTTCTTTTTTAAACTGCATTTGCAGATGTTTGATGGCAGATTGATATGAATGTAACTAAGCTTGCTGTTATATGACGTATAAACAAAAGGAAAAATCTGAGGAAGAGAAGAGAGATTGAGGAAAGGTAAAATGGCAAAAAGTACACAGATAATAAGAAACAACTTACAAGTGAACCTCGATAAATTTGAACTTGCAAAGTGTCGTTTTACTCGTTGGTCAATGTAGATCATTAAACAACAACTGAAAAAGAAATAAAGACAGTGAAAAGGTGGTAAAAAAGTAGTATCTATGGCTTTTTTTCTTTGGGTATTTGCTCCTAAATGATGGGGGTTAATAGAAATATAAGGGAGAAAAACAGAGGGCTTGTGGCAAGGTAAACTAGTAAAACAAATGCAGATAAGGATCAACTTACAAGTGAACCTCGATGGATTTATACTTTGTAAGTGCCATTTGACTCGTTGGCCGGTGCAGATCAATAATCAATATTAAAAAAAAAATTATGGAGGGTTTTGAAGGGAAAACGTTTTAAAGGATTAGAGAGAGAAAATATAAGGGTTTTTTTCTTACAGAACTCATTTTTTCTCCGATTTTTTATTTCCCGACAAATGCAAAGGATTGTATGTTTTTTTCATCTCGAATGAGGGTGGCGCGCGCGTCCGGACGAACGGCCCTTTCGGGGGCGGCGATGCGTGCTCTTTCAATTAACAAGAGCTTGGGGGGCGGCGGAGTAGATAGCGGCGTATTGTCCGCCCCCGTCCTTTGTGACCCGGTGGCAGATAGCGGCCACAATGGGTTCCAGGGGGTTGGGTAGGGGCGGCTGTTTTAACGACTCACGGGCGGATTTAAAAAAATACAAATCTCATATGGATCAGCGCGGGACTGGTACTACCGAAGCTTTTTTGAACTTCGGACTTTTTGGGAAATCTGCTAAAGTTTTCATTTTCACTGTTTTTATTTCTTTCTTCGGTGATCGATTATTAATCTGCATCGGCCAACGAGACAAACGACACTTAGCACGTTTTAATCCATCGAGGTTCTCTTGTAAATAGTTTCTTATTATCTGTGAACTTTATACTCTTAACCTCTTACTATCATTCTACCATAATATAACACCAAATATTATAATAAAAAAGCTACAGAAGTAATTTAAAGTGTTTATTTCTTTTCACATTTTATTTGTTTTTTCTGCTGTCGCTTAATAATCTGCATTGGCGAACGAGTCAAAAGGCACTTTGCAACTTTAAATCCATCGAGGTTCACTTGCAAGTTGTTTCTTTTTATCTGTGTACTTTTTGCTCTTTTCCTTTTCCTCAATCACTCTTCCCTCTTTTTCTCCCTTGTGTTTATATGAATCTACCATCATACTAAACTTAATTATGAAAATGTGTTATCTCTATTAATTTTTTAACACGTTTCACTGTTTTTTTCTCTTTCTTCTGTTGTCGATTATTCATCCGCATTAGCCTACGAGTCAAACGGCATTTTGCTTGTTTAAATTCGACGAGATTCACTTGCACGTTGTTTCTTATTGTCTGTATACATTTTGCTTTTTTACCTTGCCTC